GTGATCCGGCGAGAGATAGAGGGAGTGAGAAAGTGAACGATTACTATTTTTGTCGCTGTCAGTATGTGTCAGAAGGAGCCCTGCGGAAAATGGGGTTTTCCGCAGGGCTATTTTTGTCGCTGTCAAGATGTATGTGTCAGAAGGAGCCCTGCGGAAAATGGGGTTTTCCGCAGGGCTATTTTTGTCGCTGTCAGTATGTGTCAGAAGGAGCCCTGCGGAAAATGGGGTTTTCCGCAGGGCTATTTTTGTCGCTGTCAAGATGTATGTGTCAGAAGGAGCCCTGCGGAAAATGGGGTTTTCCGCAGGGCTATTTTGTCGCTGTCAAGATGTATGTGTCAGAAGGAGCCCTGCGGAATATGGGGTTTTCCGCAGGGCTATTTTTGTCGCTGTCAAGATGTATGTGTCAGAAGGAGCCCTGCGGAATATGGGGTTTTCCGCAGGGCTATTTTTGTCGCTGTCAGTATGTGTCAGAAGGAGCCCTGCGGAAAATGGGGTTTTCCGGAAGGACAGAGGGAAGAGAAGGTGGGACAGTGTTCTGTCCCCTCCCCCCTTCTCTCTCTCTCGCCTCTCTCTCTCTCCCCTCTCTCTCTCTGCCTCACTCTCTCTCTCTCTCTCTTTCCCTCTCTCTCCCCTATCGTACCTTGGCGTTCACTCTCTCTCACTCTCTCTCGCTCTCTCTCTGGCTGTCTCTTTCTCTCTCTTTGTCTCTTTCTATCTAGCTCATCCAACATTGACCAATTTGAGACCATCCCCGGCGCCGACAACTTCTGGTACAAGGTCGGCGAAATCGTGGCGGAATGCTTGCGCGCTGATCCACACACACGCACCGCGGCCGCGACGCTGCAAAGCGAGCTGGTCGAGATCTGGAGTAAGATGTCGCCGAAGGAGCCGTCGACACAACCGAGCGGTCCAAGGCCTTCTGTGCCTCAAGACCAGTTTGGTCGACGAGTCGTGATTTGGACAGTGGGGTTGCTAATTCGAATGTGTAGCGTTGGGGGAAGCAACGTTCAAAGGGAGCGTGTCAGCAGGGTTTACAGGGTGGTCCATAAGTATTGTCGCGCCTTTTGGCCGGTTGTATCTAACCGGGGCCGTGTGCGATCGGCTAGTTAAGCGTATGTCTTATGCAGTTTTCTCTCCTCTATCCGATGGTAGGATAGGTTGCACGATCGTATTGAGATTTCGAGCTTATAGCACATAGTTTCTTGAGAACCTCCAAATTTCAGCTTAAAAATGGCCTTTGCGAGGCTCGGCTGGCGACAAAAGAATTATTTATTCACTAAACTTGCTTTTACATTTGAAAGAACAAGTAAAACTCTGCTAGCAGAATTTCCAAACAAAAATTTTCGCATCTTCGTTTTTGAGCAAGCGCTATTTAAAGTTTCGGCGAATGCGGTGCGCCGCCCTCGGCCTACCCCGTATGTAAAACTCAAACCGTGGCTGCTAGAAAGCTGGGAAAACTGTGACATTTTTCTTCGTATAGCTAAGGCTTCTTTTCAACTATTCCCAAATTTTAAGCGCAGAATTCCACATGAAGTTCAAGAAAATCGAGGGTTTTGTCTAGTGGCATGCACCAGCCAATTTTAGTTCAAATCAAAGTCTGAAAAGTGACAGGAGCCTAGCTCAATATGCCATTAGAAAGAAGACGTCAGGTAGCATAGTAATACCATTTAGGATTGCCCCCGGGTAGCCCCAGGAAGAAATAAAACTTCGAAAACTAAAAAATGACGGGGATGCCCTGAATTCGCGGATTTTCGTCCAACATTGCGGAGGGCATAACTCCTTCAAGCGACAAGCTGTTTAGATTTCCCTTTGGGGAAATGCAGAACAATGCTGAAGCTACCATAAACTCGCTGGAAAAACATCCTGACTCTCAATCGCTGGATTTAGAGCCCTTCTTCCCGAAATTCTGGCGCGGCGCACCCCAAACTTTTGTCGCCCACTTTAGACAAATTATCTCCCTTAGAAACCATTATTCCAAAAAACTTTCTAAAGCAAAGTGGTTTATAAGGCTTGTCTGAAGCTAACCTAATTGGCTAAATCGCGGAAATCGCCCAGTGTGAAAAGATATGACGCCTTGAAAAACGACAATACTTATGGACCACCCTGTATATGCTTTTGAGGTTTTGGGGGCGAGAGAAAGCTAGAGGAGGAGACGGAAAGAGTGCGAGAGAGACAGAGGGAGAGAGCGCGCGCGAGAGAGATAAAGAGAGACAGCGAATGGGTGAGAGATAAAGGATAACGAGGCAGAGAGAGGCGAGAGAGACAGACAGAAGGAGAGAGAGCGCGCGAGAGAGAGCCGCAGACCATAGCGAGAGAAGCAGAGAGATAGAGATATAGAGAGCAAGGCGGCGAGTGAGCAAGAGCGAAATCCGGTGGGAAACAGAGAATGATAGATATACATTAAGCGCCAAAAACCCCCTAGAAAACCTCAGCTGACATGCTCCTAAGATCCAACCAGCTTGCGGATATTTTCCGTTTTTTTACTGTATCCTACCGTATCCCCGCGTTCCCACCGTACACCCGACGTCACGCAATTTTTATTTGAGAACTTTTGCCCCTCCCCATCCCCTCGATCTCTCCATATCGCCAGCGCGCTGAAATTTGACGTGTGTTTTTTTTGTTACATGAGAAACTGGTTGCATAGATGGTCTACCAGATTAGCAGGGTCGGAAAATGGCTTGGAACTCGAAAACGCATATAGTTTTCTAATTATTTTGGACCTGAAGCTCAAAATACAACTTGGTCTACATCAGTTTATTAGTTGTATTATTATACTAATCAGCCGAACCCATTAAATTCGATTTTTTTCATTTATGCAGATTAAAGCAGTGCCAAGCGCGTTTCCACTCGGAATTCATCGACCCCTCCCCCCCGCCCGGACCTCGTACGATTTTTTTCTGTTTTGGGTCGATTTTTGCTTGTATCTCCACTAATTTAATTATTGTGTTCCTATCAGTGAAAATCGCCAATAAGCGTACATTATTAGGCACAAGCCGGTCCAAACTTTAAATTTATATTACGGTTCGCTGCAATTTCTCGGAATACAGTGTTATCCTAGTATACTATATAATCCTCCCCCCCAGCCATGCCAAGCCATCTCCCCCACCTGAATGAAAATACAGACCTCCGCCACGGGTTTCTTGATTTGGCCACGTCCCTTTTGCCGCAACTGTCACGGTCCCTTTAACGCAGGAAATACCCGGATTTGTAGTCATAAGTTATCAATTTTTGTCTTTCCCGTTCGAGACAGTGATCTTTCGAGATGATCGCCACTTCCGGCGCGCTTTTGTCGTCCTCGAGGGACAAGTGACCTCCTCAAATTTGGCTATTCCCTCCTCTCCCATTATCAAGCCGCTGAACTACCTAAAAAACTCGATCCTTATGCACTGAGCCCGCCAATGTGCCCAGAGTATCATCAAGACTGTCGCGAATGGCACGGATGAATAAATCGTCTATTTTGCAACCTGAATTTGCAGAGAGAGAGAGAGGAAGTGAGAAAGATACCAGCTAGCTATCGTCCACTTCCCGGTATCTCCCGCTCACCCTATCTGCCTCCATTTCTCTCGTCCGATTACTCTCTATCTCTCGCTGACTCTCTCTGCCTCTCTTTCTCTCATTCTCTACCTTTCGCGCATCCCTCGTCGCCGGGTCTCTCTCTCTCTATTCACTCTCTCCCTCGGTTTCTCTCACCCGATCCCTCTCCATCTCTCGCTCAATCTCGCGACCCCTATATCTCTCCACGGGTCACTCTCTATCTCTCGCTCGCTCTCTCGCTCTTGGTATCTCTCCTCGAGTCACTCTCGATCTCTCGCTCCGTCTCTTGCTCTTCGTATCTTTCGCCGGGTCACTCTCTATCTCTCGATCGCTCTCTCGCCCTCCATTTCTCTCGCCGGGTCACTCTGTATCTCTCGCACACTCTCTTACTCTCTGGTATCTCTCGCCGGGTCACTCTCTATCTCTCGCTCACTCTCTTGCTCTTGGTATCTTTCGCAGGGTCACTCTCGATCTCTCGCTCACTCTCTTGTCTGGGTATCTTTCGCCGGGTCACTCACTATCTCTCGCTCACTCACTTGCTCTTGGTATCTTTCGCCGGGTCACTCACTATCTCTCGCTCCCCTCATTTGCTCTTGGTATCTCTCGTCGAGTCACTCTCTCGCCCTCCATTTCTATCGTAGGGTCACTCTCTATCTCTGCTCACTCTCTCACCATCCGTTTCTCTTGCCGGTACACTCGCTATCTCTCGCTCACTCTCTCGCTCTTGGTATCTCTCGCCGGGCCACTCTCTCGCCCTCCATTTCTCTCGCCGGGTCACTCTCTATCTCTCGCTCACTCTCTGGCTCTTGGTATCTTTCGCCGGGTCACTACCTATCTCTCGCTCGCTCTCTCGCTCTTGGTATCTCTCGCCGAGTCGCTGCGATCTCTCGCTCAGTCTCTTGCTCTTCGTATCTTTCGCCGGGTCACTCTCTATCTCTCGATCACTCTTTCGTCGGGTCACTCTCTATCTCTCGTTCACTCTCTCGCCGGGTCACTCTCTATCTCTCGTTCACTCTCTCGCCGGGTCACTCTCTATCTCTCGATCACTCTTTCGCCCTCGATTTCTCTCGCCGGGTCACTCTCGATCTCTCGCACACTCTCTTGCTCTTGGTATCTCTCGCCGGGTCACTCTCTATCTATCGTTCACTCTCTCGCCGGGTCACTCTCTATCTCTCGCACACTCTCTCGCCATCCGTTTCTCTCGCCGGACAACATTAAGGAGGCGACCCTTTAATGCGGTAAGTAACCATAATTAGCATATCGGGTCTAATTAAGAGAATTTACCGGATTTGCATTTCCGGTTCCTTGTGTGCCCCGGAGCGCGGGAAATCTTTTTCATTCTGTTTTTTGCCGGGGCCTTGACTGGCTTCTTTTCCCTTTTTGACTTTTTTATATCATGTTTTTGTTTTCCATTTTTTGTTTTCCAGTCGATATGCTAATTAAATATTCTTTTGTTTCAGGCAATTATGCCGGTGCTGACGCGGGCAGGACGAGCCCGGGCAGCCGCCGGGCATCCGCCCACCCCCCCTCCTCCTGCTCCGCCTCCTCCGCCTCCTCCTGCCTCATCATCAACGGCCTCGTCTGGATCGAGTACGCCTTCTACGACGCAACGGACCCCGTCTCCAAAACCTAACCGTCCGTTTTTCTGACTTACGTTCCCAATCCTTTGGTGGTGCTTTGGCATTTTCGGGGGGAGATGTTTGAGGGTCCTATATGCTAATTATACATTTTCTGCTTTAGGCAAGCCGGCGCCCGCCCGTTCCAGACGCCACAAAAAGGAAGAGCTCCAACTTCACCGACGCCTTCTCCGACTCCTACCCCATCTCCGTCGAGTACCCCTAGCAGCGGGTCCAAAGGACCGGATACGTTATCCCGATCGCCGTCGCCTGATTTTGCCGGCGCCGCTGCCCACCGCTGTGAGTGTCTATTGATTCTTTTACTGATTGATTCTGATTGATAGATTGATTGATTGATTGATTGATTGTTGATCGGAAGTTCGGTTAATGGCTTTATTTTACAGATAGCTACAGCCAGACTACGACTCGTCGCCTACAGCTCATCCAAGGAATATATGGACAACTTCTCCGTGATGCTCCTAACGACACCCACATGCTGGTGAGAAGTTTTTTTGGGCAGGCTAGCAGAGATTCTTTGAGGCATTAAAGGGAGGGTGACAGGAGATGACGGGGGCAGGCTAGCAGAGATTCTTTGAGGCATTAAAGGGAGGGTGACAGGAGATGACGGGGGCAGGCTAGCAGAGATTCTTTGAGGCATTAAAGGGAGGGTGACAGGAGTTGACGGGGCAGGCTAGCAGAGATTCTTTGAGGCATTAAAGGGAGGGTGACAGGGAGTTGACGGGGCAGGCTAGCAGAGATTCTTTGAGGCATTAAAGGGAGGGTGACAGGAGATGACGGGGGCAGGCTAGCAGAGATTCTTTGAGGCATTAAAGGGAGGGTGACAGGAGTTGACGGGGCAGGCTAGCAGAGATTCTTTGAGGCATTAAAGGGAGGGTGACAGGAGATGACGGGGCAGGCTAGCAGAGATTCTTTGAGGCATTAAAGGGAGGGTGACAGGAGATGACGGGGCAGGCTAGCAGAGATTCTTTGAGGCGTTAAAGGGAGATGGGGGTATTTATGGCGATTGAAAGATTTCATTCCAGGCTGGTGATGTGGTCTCGGGCTACCATTCGGAGAAGGCCGCAAATGGGCGTGAAGTTGGGCCCTTCATTTACTACTGGTCGACCGCCACAAAGCTGCACGAAAGGGTTGTACTCGAACTGCTAATGCGCGGCAACGCGGTGTGGGAGCACCGCCATCTCGAGCGGTGTGTGTGTTGTGGATCGGCAAAGCTGCACCACTCTGTTGGACTTCTGCGACTTTGTCACCGTTGTGCCAGCTCTGTCTTGTAAGGATTTTGGTTTTTTCTTAGAAAATCTGTTTGTAGAGAATGGCGCGGGGTCAACCACCGTTGCAACGACGAGGACTACCACAAGCACAACACAGAAAATCTCTTCGAAGGTAAAATTCGTCTCGTTCGGAAAATATTGTGCTTTTTTAGCACTGATCGGTCGGTGCTGCGAATGCCGGGTGAGGCGAGCTGTGATGTTTGGGTATCAACCCGTAAGTAATTTTCTAAATTTGGGTCTTTCACTCTTTCGCCGTTTGCTAGCAAATCTCAAATCGATTTTTGCTTCACATTTTATTTCCTCCATTTCAGGTTCACCAACGTGTCCAGCAAATGTTCTTGGTCTGGCCGAGACGGGGCGACAGCGTCCGAACCGCCCGAGAAATCGACTGATTAATCCACATCCACGTCGAGCAGCGCCCACTCAATGGCGGCATCAACCTCGGCGCTATCTGCGAAATTATTTTTCTTGCTTGTTTTGTCCTCATTTCTCCCTGATTCTCCCTGTACCGATTGCATTATGGTTTAGAATTGTTTCAAATAGCATACCAGGCCATTTTTCGCTTTTTTTGATATTCCCCGCGGCATGTTTATGGTGGTTCTTTGGTTTTGCTGTGTTACTCGCCTTTTGTTTGGGATAATAAATTTTAACGGGAAAGCAAGAGAGACAGGCAGAGAGAGTGAGTGAAAGAAACGACGAGAGAAACGGAGGGCGCGAGGAGTGTGCGAGAGATAGAGAGTGACCCGGCGAGAGAAACGGAGGGCGCGAGTGTGCGAGAGATAGAGAGTGACCCGGCGAGAGAAACGGAGGGCGCGAGAGTGTGCGAGAGATAGAGAGTGACTCGGCGAGAGAAACGGAGGGCGCGAGAGTGTGCGAGAGATAGAGAGTGACCCGGCGAGAGAAACGGAGGGCGCGAGTGTGCGAGAGATAGAGAGTGACCCGGCGAGAGAAACGGAGGGCGCGAGTGTGCGAGAGATAGAGAGTGACTCGGCGAGAGAAACGGAGGGCGCGAGAGTGTGCGAGAGATAGAGAGTGACTCCGGCGAGAGAAACGGAGAGCGCGAGAGTGTGCGAGAGATAGAGAGTGACCCGGCGAGAGAAACGGAGGGGCGAGAGTGTGCGAGAGATAGAGAGCGACCCGGCGAGAGAAACGGAGGGCGCGAGAGTGTGCGAGAGATAGAGAGTGACCCGGCGAGAGAAACGGAGGGCGCGAGGTGCGAGAGATAGAGAGTGACCCGGCGAGAGAAACGGAGGGCGCGAGAGTGTGCGAGAGATAGAGAGTGACCCGGCGAGAGAAACGGAGGGCGCGAGAGTGTGCGAGAGATAGAGAGTGACCCGGCGAGAGAAACGGAGGGCGCGAGAGTGTGCGAGAGATAGAGAGTGACTCGGCGAGAGAAACGGAGGGCGCGAGAGTGTGCGAGAGATAGAGAGTGACCCGGCGAGAGAAACGGAGGGCGCGAGAGTGTGCGAGAGATAGAGAGTGATCCGGCGAGAGATACCAAGAGTAAGAGAGTGTGCGAGAGATAGAGAGTGACCCGGCGAGAGAAATGGAGCGCGAGAGACGGAGCGTGAGATCGAGAGTGACTCGACGAGAGATACCAAGAGCGAGAGAGCGAGCGAGAGATAGAGAGTGACCCGTGGAGAGATATAGGGGTCGCGAGATTGAGCGAGAGATAGAGAGGGATCGGTTGAGAGAAACCGAGGGAGAGAGTGAATAGAGAGAGTGACCCGGCGACGAGGGATCCGCGAAAGGTAGAGAATGAGAGAAAGAGAGGCAGAGAGAGTGAGCGAGAGATAGAGAGTAATCGGACGAGAGAAACGGAGGGCGCGAGAGTGTGCGAGAGATAGAGAGTGACTCGGCGAGAGAAACGCAGGGCGCGAGAGTGTGCGAGAGATAGAGAGTGACCCGGCGAGAGAAACGGAGGGCGCGAGAGTGTGCGAGAGATAGCGAGTGACCCGGCGAGGAGAAACGGAGGGCGCGAGAGTGTGCGAGAGATAGAGAGTGACTCGGCGAGAGAAAAGGAGGTCGGGCGTGTGCGAGAGATAGAGAGTGATCCGGCGAGAGAAACGGAGGGCGCGAGAGTGTGCGAGAGATAGAGAGTGACTCGGCGAGAGAAACGCAGGGCGCGAGAGTGTGCGAGAGATAGAGAGTGACCCGGCGAGAGAAACGGAGGGCGCGAGAGTGTGCGAGAGATAGAGAGTGATCCGGCGAGAGATACCAAGAGTAAGAGAGTGTGCGAGAGATAGAGAGTGATCCGGCGAGAGATACCAAGAGCGAGAGAGCGAGCGAGAGATAGAGAGTGATCCGGCGAGAGATACCAAGAGCGAGAGAGCGAGCGAGAGATAGAGAGTGACCCGTGGAGAGATATAGGGGTCGCGAGAGTGTGCGAGAGATAGAGAGTCAATCGGCGAGAGAAACCGAGGGAGAGAGTGAATAGAGAGAGTGACCCGGCGACGAGGGATGCGCGAAAGGTAGAGAATGAGAGAAAGAGAGGCAGAGAGAGCGAGCGAGAGATAGAGAGTAATCGGACGAGAGAAATGGAGGCAGATAGGGTGAGCGGGAGATACCGGGAAGTGGACGATAGCTAGCTGGTATCTTTCTCACTTCCTCTCTCTCTCTCTGCAAATTCAGGTTGCAAAATAGACGATTTATTCATCCGTGCCATTCGCGACAGTCTTGATGATACTCTGGGCACATTGGCGGGCTCAGTGCATAAGGATCGAGTTTTTTAGGTAGTTCAGCGGCTTGATAATGGGAGAGGAGGGAATAGCCAAATTTGAGGAGGTCACTTGTCCCTCGAGGACGACAAAAGCGCGCCGGAAGTGGCGATCATCTCGAAAGATCACTGTCTCGAACGGGAAAGACAAAAATTGATAACTTATGACTACAAATCCGGGTATTTCCTGCGTTAAAGGGACCGTGACAGTTGCGGCAAAAGGGACGTGGCCAAATCAAGAAACCCGTGGCGGAGGTCTGTATTTTCATTCAGGTGGGGAGATGGCTTGGCATGGCTGGGGGGAGGATTATATAGTATACTAGGATAACACCGTATTCCGAGAAATTGCAGCGAACCGTAATATAAATTTAAAGTTTGGACCGGCTTGTGCCTAATAATGTACGCTTATTGGCGATTTTCACTGATAGGAACACAATAATTAAATTAGTGGAGATAGCAAAAAAATCGACCCAAAAACAGAAAAAAAATCGTACGAGGTCCGGGCGGGGGGGGGGTAGATGAATTCCGAGTGGAAACGCGCTTGGCACTGCTTTAATCTGCATAAATGAAAAAAATCGAATTTAATGGGTTCGGCTGATTAGTATAATAATACAACTAATAAACTGATGTAGACCAAGTTGTATTTTGAGCTTCAGGTCCAAAATAATTAGAAAACTATATGCGTTTTCGAGTTCCAAGCCATTTTCCGACCCTGCTAATCTAGGTAGACCATCTATGCAACCAGTTTCTCATGTAACAAAAAAACACACGTCAAATTTCAGCGCGCTGGCGATATGGAGGAGATCGAGGGGATGGGGAGGGGCAAAAGTTCTCAAATAAAAATTGCGACGTCGGGTGTACGGTGGGAACGCGGGGGATACGGTAGGATACAGTAAAAAAACGGAAAATATCCGCAAGCTGGTTGGATCTTAAAGGGAGCATGTCAGCTGAGGTTTTCTAGGGGGTTTTTGGCGCTTAATGTATATCTATCATTCTCTGTTTCCCACCGGATTTCGCTCTTGCTCACTCGCCGCCTTGCTCTCTATATCTCTATCTCTCTGCTTCTCTCGCTATGGTCTGCGGCTCTCTCTCGCGCGCTCTCTCTCCTTCTGTCTGTCTCTCTCGCTCTCTCTCTGCCTCGTTATCTATCTCTCACCCATTCGCTGTCTCTCTTTATCTCTCTCGCGCGCGCTCTCTCCCTCTGTCTCTCTCGCACTCTTTCCGTCTCCTCCTCTAGCTTTCTCTCGCCCCCAAAACCATTAGGCTTATCTTATCTAGCTTCTTACATATTTAATTCGTAACCTTATGAAGACGAGAAACAACATCCTGATCTTTCAGAAAGAAACGACGAGAGAAACGGAGGGCGCGAGAGTGTGCGAGAGATAGAGAGTAACCCGGCGAGATAAACGGAGGGCGCGAGAGTGTGCGAGAGATAGAGAGTGACTCGGCGAGAGAAACGGAGGGCGCGAGAGTGTGCGAGAGATAGAGAGTGACTCGGCGAGAGAAAAGGAGGGCGAGAGTGTGTGAGAGATAGAAAGTGGCCCGGCGAGAGAAAAGGAGGGCGAGAGAGTGTGTGAGAGATAGAGAGTGACCCGGCGACAGATAGAGGGGGTGGAAAGGGGGCGGGGGGGTATAGAGTGACTCGGCGAGGACGAGTGACCGAGGGCTATTTTTGTCGCTGTTAAAAAGAAGCGGTCAGAAGGAGCCCTGCGGAAAACCCCTTTTGTTGTTTTGTTTCACCGTTGTTTTCATTTTTGTCATCTGAATTTAGGACAATCATGCAAATTGAAGGATAAAATGGGGTTAGACGAGGCCAGGGTTGAAAAGTCGCGAAGCGGCTTTTCAACCCTGGTTTTGTTTATTTATTTACCCTGAGGTGCAGCACATAAAAAGAACATCAACAACAAAAACAATAAATAAATATAGCCGCATTGGGTAGGCTAAAAATCAATGTGGCGGACGGAGGACGATCGCTTTTGCACCTCTTCTTCCCTGAAAAATGGTGGTTGAAAAAGTAATAAAATTTGGGAAAATTGGCCAACATTAATTTAAAACAGCAAGATACCCGAGAATCCCTTTTCGAACTCTCAATGCAACACACAGAAGACAAGATGCGGCCGCGGTGAGCACGAGTAGGAATACCGATCCGACGAGAACAGCTCTAAAGGTTGGTTTCTGGTTCTTTGGTATTAGCGGGGGTGCTGGTATTTTTCGGGTCTGAAACCCCGGAAACACTAAGAAAAAGCGTTATTTTGTCCCGTTTTATGACTTTTTGGCTAGCCGAGCCGATCACGAAAACGTACTCGAGGATTAGGAGCAGCTTGGCGCGGACCTGGCCGTTTGAGAGAAGATCATTGAGCAGCTTCTGCCACCACCTTCCGTCTTGTTCCGATCCCTCGTCGAGGCCTGAAGAGATTAAACGTGTTTAGACGTTGGAGGCACTAGTTTGTTAGCGGGGGACCCACCATTTTCTTTTTCTGTTAATTATTAAAAACTTAACTCATAAATTTAAATTTTTTACAATACTTTATGAATTTTGACCCAATGCCATAATTTTTCGGGATTTCTTAATTTAGACCATTCTTGGCCCTTTTTCATGCATTTTTCAAGACCACGTCAAAAATGTTTTGACATTTATGGGTTTTTGATATCTGAAAACATTGTAAAAGGCAATAAAAATGGTTTAGATTTCGTTATAGGGGCATGGAAAATTAAGGGAAAGAAATGGTCTAACAGTCCAGTACAATTTTGTAGGACAAACGAACCTGCGGCGATCATGACGAAGAGGGAAATGGCGGCCGACAATCTCTCATGGCTCACCATCTTCATTCAAACACACAAAAAGGCGGGGATGGGTGTGTGGATGGATGGATCTGCGTCGAGGGTCCGCACCACTTTCCCCCGGCTTCATCCACCTCACAACCCGGCCACGCCATCCCGCCATGGCCCATACGAGATGACAGTTGACAACTTGCTGTCGGTCACTGGCAGCTAGCTGCTGATGAGCACGCCCAGGGGCGTAGCCAGAAAAAAATTTCGGGGGGGGCCCGAAAATTTTTTTCCGAAAACCCAAAATTTACCGAAAAACAGCGCCGCAGGCGGAAATTTTGGAAAAAAGGCAAAATAGCTCTATAAATAGCAGTAAAAATGGGAAAAATAGCGCCGCAGGCAGCAAAATTTTGTGAAAATAGAAAACAAAAACGGGTCCCCCTTATGGTTTTTTGGGCCCCGGCCCATTTCGGGGCGCCGGGCCCCGGGGGGCCCCCTCTACGTCCCTGAGCACGCCCCTTAAGGCCTTTACAATGTTTTCAGAATGTGACGCTTGATAGTCTAATGATAAGAAATTTGTGCCAAAGGAAAATCTATCCGGAATAACGGACTATGGAAATGGGCCTTTAAATTTTGCCCATTTTCATAGATTTTTCACGAAAAATCCAAAATTTTCCAAATTTCATGGTCAAAATGCCACAAAAAGCTACAAATGATGTGTACTTTTTTAATGGGATCCCAGGACGTGATAGGCGAAAGTTAGGTTTCCTCTCGTTACGAGCCCCGAACGTAACGAAACGTAAAGTAACGAACAAAAAAAGCAACGTTTTTGCGTTGTTTTCACTTTTTACACATTCGAGTCTTCTGAGATCCAATTGTCCGCGTCGATGATCGAGCCATTGATCGGGCCGGTAGAGCCGGTGAAGCCGCGAGATGAGGGTGGATTGTTTGTGCTGGCGAGGCGCGAAATGCTGTCCAGAAATCGGATATCCGCCTGACCAGCTGCGTGGGGACGGCATTTCCTTTGGCCATCTGGGGACTAAATGGGGCACAACACGAACCGGTACTAATGCACTTGGAGGGGGGCAAGTTTTAAGGCAATTTTAGCAGATTCTTCGCTTATATCTTGTAAAGAGATTCAGACAAACAGATAAACAAGAAACAGTTACAAAGTTATAACAGTTTTATTTGGTTTATTGGTACCGAAAAACATATACAAGCTCCAAAGTGCATCGTGAAAATCACGTTGAAATAGACAGAGCAAAATTAATTTTAACCGGTCCTCCCCTTCTCCCTTTTTTTTTTTCTCCACTTTTCACAATTCTCACGGGTTTCGATGACAAAAAATCAGACACCCCCCCCCCCCCCCCACCCCCCAAAAAACAACCCAAAAAAAAAAAAAAAAAATAAAAACAAAAACACATTTTTAAACTTTTTTTTCGCCCCCCCCCCCACAAAACCAACAAAAAAACAACCAAACCTCCCCCCCACCCCCCCCCCCACCAAAACACAACCGAAACCCCCCCAACAAAAAAAAAAACAAACCCACACACCCCAACCCAAAAACTATTTTTTTATATATAGTAGGATAAACACAATTTCCATACGAATCCATCAGTGTTTCCCGGAATGCCAAGCGACATCCCTTCCGGCCGGTATAAAAGCAATCCGGCCAAGTAACCCAGGTCATTTCTTATTTCGACCATTATCTTGCGGCGTTCAAGCAGCCTTCAGGTGGGTATTTTGTGCCCTTTTTCAGGGCATCACTTCCCCTTGCAGTTGTCATTTGAATATCCCAAAGTACAGTGAGTGAGCGGTGACATGTACGAGGATCTTGGCCCGGCTGCTGGCGGTGAGGGCGCTCCTCCGCCCCCGGCTCCTGCTGGCGCTCCGCCACCCCCACCACCTGCAGCTGCACCCGCAAAAGAGGGAGGAGATGGAGAGGGTGAAGGAAAGGTATCGCATTATGATCAAGTTATTTAAAAGTTGTTTTGTAAGTTGTGCTGTCTCGGTAGCTCTAAATATTGACGGCGGTCTAAATTTTACGCTACGCGGTTACCCTTTTCGGCTGTTTCCAAATAAAACTTAGTAAGAAAAATACAATTTTTGAAAATTGTCAACTTTGAATTTTTGCAAACGGCTTTCCCACTAACTATTAAAACCATAAGCTACAAAATAGTTGTATTCTATTGATAGGGGGGTGCGGCCGAGTAATAGACGTTAGCCCCTCCCCCCGCTAAAAAAACAGAACCTTCCAGACAACGACCGATGAACCGACGAAGAAGGGCGAATCGACCATGGGTGAAGCCACCGGCGGCAACAGCGCCAAGGAAAAGAAGAAGAAGAAGGGCAAAAAGGGCAAGAAGGGAAAGAAGGGCGACGGCGGCGGAGGAGGAGGTGGAGGCGGTGGAAAAGGTGCCTACGCGGTCATAGCCATCATCCGATTCAGCGCTTCCCACCATCCTGCTTGTTCTCGGCGTCCTGTGCCTGATTGCCGGCATAGGGTTGTTGGTGCTGGGGGCCGTTGAGAGTGTCGCCCTCGGTATCTTCGGCTGAAATCTTGTAAACAAGGTAACCTCAAAAACCATACCCAACCCCTACCACTTGCAGTAAATAAATCGCGGCGTCGTCTCCTCGCTACTCTCCGGACGTCAAAGACCCTTCCTTACTTGATCACATTTACGTCGAATAAAGCAATTACAATAGTTTGTCATAGCCCAGTGTTCATCGGTTGTTTATCGGTAATTGCAAAGGTCATAAATAATTGCAGGGAAAAATCTGGGTGTGGGGTGGGTAAAGCTGGGATGAAGATAAATGGGATACGGTATCGCATGAAATCCACCAGATTAACTCATTTCAAAAACCTAATATGCACTTTACGAACAGCCGGTAGTACAACATACACATTAGAGATCGGGGGGATAGGACTCGATATATAAGTACGACGTTTATTTGATGGAGCGACGCGATCGATTCGGCGTCGATGTACCCGGTGAGCCGGTTTCGGCTCCCTTTTTGCTCTTCTAAATGGAAATAGAATTTTTCAAAAATAAAGAGGCACCTTTGAAGGCGGTTCGGCGGGTTTCTCTTCTTTGACAGACTTTGGAGCACGTTTGCGGTGCTTCACTTCAAATTCGCCCATCTCCTTTTCGATCAGAGTGATCAGCGTGTTGCAACGACGTTGGATTTCCTGAAATAAACCATTTTCGGAGAATTATTTGTGTGACTCACCGTGGAGGTCCTGCTCTTGATGAACCAGTCAAAGCGGAACTGCGGTGCCTCGCGAATGCTTTGGCACAAATCTTCGTAAACCGTCTCGCTGTCGAAGCCAAGTCGATGAAGCTCGCAAACCAAGAACCTAGAACGCGATCAACAGAAAGAATCATTCCTCATACCTGTCTTCCTCCTCCGTGTAAGTCTTTCCCTTGTTTGTGCCGTAAGAAATGCGCAGCTGGTGGTAGGGAGCCCGGTACTTCTTGATCTTCGCGTCGAGAGCCCCACGGACCAGATGACGGCGTTGTATTCTGCTTTCACCCTAAAAACACACCTTCATCTAGGACAAAAATATAATACCTTTTCTATCTGTGCAATAATTTTCTCACTGTCGGCCAGATCGTCGACGCGCTCCCAGAACACCTTGGCATATTCGATAACCTCCTCACGGCTTTTCGTTTCCACCTAAAAAGCTTATCAGTCAAATTCAACTCGCATACCAGTTCCCTACAAATGGCGTCGATGTCCTGACGGCCGAATTTTTCGTTGGCCTTGACGAAGGTGCTGAATTCACGGCGCGACCAGCTGCTGAAGCCCTGGTCCAAAAGTTCCTCGCGTTCATTCTAAAAATAAAGGTATCTTGAGAGGATACTATTTACCCTCTCTTCCTCGGTAAGGCCCTCAGAAGCGTCGATTTTCTTTTGCTCCTCCTTTTGCTTGCGCTCAGCGTCCTTACCGCTGCCCTCTTTCTGGGCCTAAAAGAGAAAAACTTCAAAATTACGAAATTACATACCTTATAGCCGATGGTCTTTCGATAATGGTAGACTTCTCGGTCGAGCAATTGATACAGGCGCATCGGATAGAACTGGAAGTCGTGCACATTCGGGAGCTTCGGACGAGGGGCTTTCGGTGTCTTGTCACTGCCTTGACGAAGAGCTTCTCGGTAATAGAGGTCGACCTAAACACGTTTGTATTGCGAGCAACTTATCTTACCGCATAGTTGACCTTGCGTTCACGCTTGGGTGGTTCAATCCAGAATTGTCCCATCCCAGTATTTTGCTTATCCCTAAAATTTAAGAATGGGGGCTAGAGGTGGAGAAATCCCACCTCCAGTTCATGCCCTCCCAATTGTAGACAGAGTTTTTCTGCTCATCGGTGACCCCGTGATCAACTGTGAAGGAACGCAGGTTGGACTCGCCAAAGGCCTGAATAAGAAGCATACAAAATTATGTAAAACGGCATACCGCCATCTTTTTGTCGAGCTCCATGGTCTTCTCCTCAGCACGAGCCAAGATTGCGTCAATGCCTTCATCAGAAAGAGTCGAATCTTTCGAAGCAAACACCTAAATTCAAGGAGATATTTACAAAAGACGACTGTACCATGTCAGCGCCGTGCCGAATCATGTCGAGCATGTCGTCCTTGCCCAGCGTCTTTTGGGCTTCAGCCATGCTGAAAATTATGAGACTTGATATCATGACATCCTGAGCTTACCGGCCTTGCTGGATGACGATCGAGTCGAGACGCAGCTTCATCTCGGCTCGCTCAATGATTCTTTCATCGACCGTATTTTCGGCAATGAAACGGAAAACGCGCACCTGCAGCGAATTATTGATCAAAAATTTTGCAAAAGAGTATTTTACCTGCTTCTTCTGGCCGATACGATGAGCGCGATCCATAGCCTGAAGATCCATTTGGGGATTCCAATCCGAATCGTAGATAATAACGACGTCGGCCGTCGCTAGATTGATTCCAAGACCACCGGCACGAGTGGTAAGCATGAAGATAAACTTCTCGGACCCTTCACGGTTGTACTCCTCAATTTGGCTCTGACGATCTTCGTGTGCAGTTTGTCCATCAAGACTAAAACGGAAACGTCTGCGGGCTATAGTGAAATTACCGGCAATATTGATATCTCTTCCACCAACAATAGTCCTCGAGTAAATCAAGCATACGCGAGAATTGGGAAAAGATCAGCACACGAGATCCTGAATCAAAGAACTTTATCAAAAGCTGGGTTTGGTCACACTTTTTTTAATAAAAAAATTACCTTGTTGCTGGAGCTTGGGTAGCAGCTTATCGAGCAGCACCATTTTACCCGAGTTATCAACGATGTGTTGGTCAGTGGTGTAGGGAGGCCCTGGCTCGGCGCCGTCGAATAGATAAGGATGGTTTGTACATTTGCGCAAGTGCATCAGCACGTTCATAAGCCTAGAAGAGCAATTTGCCAAATACAGGCCCATGCCACAAACCTGGCTTTCTCCGGCTTTCCAGCACCATTGACAATGTCGATTTCCTTCAGCAGAATCTTTTGATACCATTCACGCTGCATCTTCGACATTCCAATATACACCTAGAGCAACTGTGCTGGAAAATCGTCATCGGACATACCTTGACTTCTTTTTTCGGTAGGAGCGACTTTTCGACATCAGATTTGATACGGCGTAGCAAGAATGGTTGTAATACCTAAGACAATAACTGGTAATAACTATGCAAAATACCTTATGAAGACGAGAAACAACATCCTGATCTTTCAGAGAGCTCGCTTCGAACCACGAGTCGAAATCTTCAGCACTTGAGAACATGTCCGGCAACAGGAAGTTGAGAAGAGCCCAGAGCTCATGCAAGTTATTCTGCAGCGGAGTACCGGTTATCAGCAGACGATTCTTCGACTTCAATTCACGCACAACCTCGGATAGCTAAACAACATATTTCAAAAAATAAAATCGGTGATGGTCACCTTGCTCTTCTCGTTTTTGATGCGATGCGCCTCATCGATGATAATGTACTTCCAAACGTGTTTTCGGAGGAGTGCACGACACTTGAGGACCATCTCATATGAAGTGACGATGACATCGAAATTTCCGGGCATAATCTCCTCGCGAACAATCACGCTCTAAAAACGTAAATTCACTTTTTTTTCCTGCAATAACAAACCCTTTGCTCTTCACTACCGATCAGGCAAACAGTCCTCAGCGACGGGCACCATTTCTTGAATTCGTTCATCCAATTTTGGAGAGTCGACTTCGGATTGATGACCAAATGAGGGCCGTGTGAATTTTTAAAGTGCTTCATGTACCCGAGAAGAGAAATTGTCTGCAGCGTCTTTCCGAGGCCCTGTAAACATGTAGTTAAAGTATGCCTGCACCGACTATACCATTTCGTCTGCCAAAATTCCATTGATGCCGTTGTGCTGAAGCTGGATAAGCCAGTTGAGACCGCGAACTTGGTAGTCACGCATTTCTCCGTTTTTTATGTAATGTGGGGTCTTGTCAAAGAGGATCAGTCCGGCGTCTTTGTCTAAAAGAAATTTAACGCAGAAACTCGGGGCTTACTGGCTTCTGCGAGCAGTTCCTCGTCTTCTTCTTTCTCAGTCTTACGGTGGCGATGATCGCCTTCAACCTGGGGCACACGTGCGGGCCGGCCACGTTTCTTTCCGGCGGCTGCAGAGCCTAAAAACATGAGAAAATCTCGTCCGTTTTTCTTAATTTACCTTTGTAAGCCGCAACATCTCCGGCATCGAGGCAGTGTGAAAAATTCTCTGTCTTCTTCAGTAGCATCTCGAATCGCTCAAACGAAGTCTTCGCAACCTTGGTATTTTCTATAAGAACAGTTATCGTTTTTTATAAACACGCGAACACACCTGTGACCTCATCATCATCGTCATCTTCAACCTGCTCTTCTTCTTCCTCATCGTCGTCCTGTTCTCGGTCAGGTTCTTGCTCCCGATCGTCATCGTCCTCTCCATCATCACTGCCCGCAGGAGATGGCTTCTCTTCCGGTTCTTCGGATCCCGCGTGCTCCGAGCCAGTCGGGGATTCCATTCTTACATCATCGGTAGGGCCCGAACCCTCCATGTCGACGTCAGAATGTTCGTCGGACATCTGGAATGATATTTTTCAGTTTTCGTAATAAGCCACATATCTATGGGATTATTACATGAAAGGTAAAGATCGTGGACACGAATTACTTAGGTTTCTCAAAAGACGCGCTTTATATTTGCAAAAAAATGCCAGACACCATCGAACGCTTGAAACCAACGGAAGTGCTAAGAACGGCCCTAAAACGGCTTGCTAGAGCCAGCTATGAATAAGAAACATCCAACAAGATTTTCAAACATCCAAGACGATTACGTGATGGTGATGGTTTACAAGTAAACCCAAAAATGGGCGGGAAGTCGGCCTGGCCCCCTCTTCGAACCGGCGCGCGCTATAGTAGTCAGGGTCACGCAAGGGGACTCCTCGTAACCCCAGTACAAGCGCAACGATACTTGGTCACTTCTTAGGGCTCGTGTGGAATAAAAACGGAGCTGAGAAAAGAGAAATTAAGATACATCGACAAACTAAGAAGAAAACGAAACATAGACCTGGCTCTAGCGCTATAGCCCCAAAACTCTCCCCAGAATCGGACCTCCCAAATGCTATATTTTTCATCAAGGGACTGTGGGTAAAACTTTTGGACCGAAAACATAAAATTTTTGACTGCTAGTTCAATAGGCATTTGGACGCAGAGCGTATCTTGAGGTCTTTTGAAAGTTAGGCTTTGACCTGCCGGCTCTCTTATAGGACCTACAACTGCCTAATCAACGAGGATTGAAAATCGATTTCGTCCGTTCACCCCCTCCCCCTCCAAAAAAAAAAGAATTTACACAAGTTTGACCTAAAAAAACAATGCGGAACAATTCTTACCACCATTCAATAGATAACTCAAAAAGTAAATACATATATTTAAAATTTAAGTGTAGAATTGTAAAGGAAAATTAATTGCAAAAAGAATAAAGAAAATGGTACAGAAAATAAAAAAAAACTCCGGAAACGGAACGAGAGAAGACGTAAAATGCCGCGGCGCGTTATCTGACGCCTGTTGGAAACGTCCGCAGGACACTAATTACGTCGGGGTTGGGCAGCGGAATTCGATAAACGGGTTTGCAAAAAAAAATCGAAAACATTCTTCTTTTCCTCTTTTCGGTTCGGTAAATACATTGGCTTTTTTCAGAAACATGGAGTCGATGTTGCAAAAACTGTTCCTCGCTCATCCGCTGCACCATCACGGCGCTGGCGACGCACCTGTGATTGGAAGGAATCGAAACCCGTCAAAGGCCGGATATGACGACAACAACTCTCTCGGTCGCAGCCCCACTTACACCCCGAGAAAGGTATATACACATCTATCCAATTACTTCTGATGGCTTAGTCTTACACGCCGATCTCTGCGGTCGAAATCAAAGACCCACGTGGGATTCGCGTAGAGCCCGAGAAGAAAACGAAGGTGCTCATTGACGGCCTCGCCAACCACCCGACCTCTCAACTGCAGCCGGAGAAATTCAAGCCTGTATGATAGTCGTTTGCCTTCAACATGCTTTTTTAGATCGTATCGTCGAAAACGATGGATGGCGAGGCGAAAATTGTCTCGTTCCGCGACCAGGATGGTAGCACGCGCTTGCAGATAGAATACGAGCGTGCTGGATTCCTGCGGTTTGCTCGATCTGCGTTGCCTTTCATTGTTGTTCAGATTGTCGAAGATGCCGATCACCATGGTCGCTCCAGATTGTGCACGTGAACTGGTCCGCTCTGACTCTTGCATCATGAAAATGTTTGTGAATTGAATATATAATTTAATTTTTATTAGGTTTCCGACCAGCTTCTCACCAGAGGAATACCAGCTGACCGCACCGAAATGGCAATAACCATCCTCCTGTGATATTACCACCCAGTTGGTGTTTTGTTTGTGACTCCTTACCGTTAACGGTAAAAATATTGTGATACTTATGTCTAGTGTTTGGCTTTACATTGGGGGAATTTTGTTCTAATAAAAATCTTTGGTGTACGTGTTTTTCGAACTAAAATAAATAGTGTAGCACAATAATGTATTTATTTATTGGCAGGGAACTAAGTGAGCGATCAACCATAGAAAGTCTGGATCCCATCCGTGTCGGGCTCGGGGAGAAGGATGCGGCTAGAAATCTACGATTTTCTGGACTGGCTGGCTTACTTTGTTATTGAGTCGAAGGGTGTTGCCAATGAAGGCAGGAGGCCTGTAGCGTCATGATGGGCGAATCGTGATGCCGCGCTGACGCCAAGGCTAAAATTTTAGGGTTTTAGGCAGACGGTCAGCCGCCACTCACCCCGACTCATGGCTATGTGGTTGTCTTTGGATCTTCGGCCGGCCAGCCGGATGCCTCGGTCGGAGTCTGGCAGCCGGTGGTACTCCGTTACCCTACAATCTTTCTTCACGCATTCCGAGTTTTCGTTACCTTCTTTCGTCTCGTCAATTTTGACTTGAACAAGTAGCAGAAGAAGATCAATATGAAGGCAAAGATCCCGCCGCAGACGACCATCGCCAAAACAAGGGTTCGATCTGCTGAGCTCTCCTTTAGGACACCTAAATAATCTAGAGTTGTCTCTTCATCTGACTTGTTTGCGCGCTCAATGAATTTATTGACACAAACACGTATGCGGACAAGACAAAATGAACGAATGAATGATAAGTGGGCCACAGAGCACCTATTTGAAGCATTAGTCAACGTAGCACGGAACGGCGACAAGACTTGGCGTAGACTGTGGGAGGCGATCACTAGCCAATAAGCTCCTTACAATGCTATAGGGGTGAGCGTTTCTCTATTTAAAAGGACCAGACGTAAGCGAATTACTCGGCACATCTAATTTACAAAATATGGGTAAAGGGAAAACCATAAAATGGGATTGGCCCATAATTTAGTGCCATCGGGCTGTTTCATTTCTAAAAAATGGACATGACAATGATGCATAGAAGTAGGTGTGTCCAGCTTGGCGACGTCGTACGGGAGTTGCGCGAATGGTGGAGAGCGCGTGAAGCTTTCGCAGAATATCCGGGACCTAAACAGCTTGACTGGCAACACGAAAGCTTCAAAAGCCGAAGCAAGGTTATTTTCAGTGAACGTTACATAACGTGTACCTGTGGTTATTGTTATTTTCCAACAAGACAGTTACGACGAATTGAACTTACAGTGTGACTCGTCGGAATCGTCGTGCTCGGTGGCGGTGCGGCAGTTCAGATCATCGTCACAGCGCAACCGGGAAGAGATGCACAACTTGGAATATGTACACAAATACACATCATCACCGGAGCACGTCTCTTCTAAAGCCGGCGGTTGGTTTTAATTTTAGTGCCATACCTTCGGCCGGCCTCACTTCGGTCCACGTGAAATTGAAGCCGCTCAGCCCGTTGACTTTGTCCGGTGCCGTTAGGAACCTATAAAATAGATGAATTCCCAATTTACAGACACTATTTTCATATTTTTTTGGAAGCTGGCCAAAAAACCTTGTCTTTCTTTTACTTTTAACTTTATTTGAAAGATTCCAACTTACGTGATGCGGACCGTGTTGTTTGAAGTGATAATTGGCGGTATGACGGTGGCCACCGTCCCGCAGAATTCGTATTTTTGGTCGACGGTGGATACCCTGTGGCGAAATTATGTCATGCCCTTTCTACCGTAGCTCCACTTACCGTATGACGGCTTTGGGGCAGGATGGTGTGTCGACATCGCCCATCGCCCCTTCCACCTGCATGGCCACCAAATGGAGCAGCAGCTGGAAATTGGGTTTTTTGGATTTAGATCATCGAGAGCTCCATCGATAATTCGGTTCTTAACTGTTAACGGGGGAGCGATTTAATCTAGGGTACCTGGAAAATTTTTAGGCATTTATAGTGTCTATAGTAGTTTTTGATTACTATTAAACCCTAAAAAGCCTAGAAAAAGAAAAATATTTTTCATCGGTGTTTTTAACATAAAATCCAGTTTCAGACATTTTATTAGGATATTTTATTAAGGATTTTTATGAAATTTCCATACGCGAGAACGGCGCAAAAAAGCTATACAACGGTAAAGCATTTCTTTATTGTGACATACCCGATTGCCCGGTCGGGCGGTGATCGACCAGTCACAGAAGACGTTCTCCTGATATTTGGCCCCGAAGCCCGGGGAACGGATGTATCCGGATGGGTTCTCGGCCGAGGCTTCTATCTTCAGAGGGCCACATCCGGCCATGTCATCTGAAAAACAGGGTGTCAAAAGTTGCAATTTGGAAAGCACCCTGTTTGCTTGGGGCCGAGGGGACACGTTTTCGAATCTCGTACAGCGCCTTGAAGCCGTTGTTCGACCCGTTCGAATCGGAGCTAAAGCTTTTCCATATTAAAAAACCTTGTTTAGAAAAACCTGAAAAGGATGCGCATTTCGTGAGAGCCCTCTGCTGATCGCCGGGGGCCCGGGAATGTGCCGGCGCAGTAGCTCACTAAAAGAGAAACCATTTAGAGAGCTTTTAAGCATTTAAAAATTGGATTAGACGAACTTTAGACATAATTACAAGCGTTGGATAAATCTAAAAGTTTTTAAAAAAATGATACCTGGCACAGATAGCCTCTCCGAGCCGTCAGCTTCCCGGAATACGTCATAGATCTCGATCCAGTCCTTACACCTAAAAAAAGGGGTTTAAAGACGAATGCGAGCCCACCTATCCCCAGCATTTTCGGAGAATAGGGCAAAATGCTCGAAATAGATTAGCACCACATCTCCAGGCCGCCCCTCGATCAGGTAGGTGCAATTTGTGTCGAGCGGGTACTGGAAAAAGTGTAAATTTCCGAAAAACCTTATGTCAAAAATTTGCTTAATTTCTATAAGAAAATAGCTGAAAATTCTTACATTTGCCGGGTATCGGGGGCTGTTGAAAAAGCCGTTGGGCTGGGTGAAGCGAAAGAGGCATTCATTTGAGTCGCCCATCGGGTCGCCCGGTACGCCAAAATCTGCAAAAAAAATAGGTTTTAGCAGTGTAGGTATCATTTCCAAAAAACGTTGCTTTTTGGTCGAACATGAGCAAAAATGGCGCAGTTATGAGATTTTGATATGCCGTAGCTTATGGACCTGTTTTGAATTGGATCGTAGCCTTGAAACCAAGCGGATGTTGGCCATCCGTTGATGTATGATTACTCGTCCCGAATTGCACCACCATTCGGGCCCCTTCCGACTCATATGGCCCCATCGCGGCAGATCCTAAATCTAAATCCAAGGCAAACGGGACCCTAAAAACCTTTGGATATCCGGTCACAAAGGGTCGCGTCAAAATTGCTCTCATCCTTGCTGCTCAGCGTCGCCTTGATGTTGCCCTCGCTGGAAAGTGTTTGGTTGTGGAAACATACTCAAAAGCGTACGTTATAGCGACGCCAACCCAGGCATTCGGACACGTTACTTCTTCATTTCCATGGGATCCGTGATGGTGGTGATGTCTAAAAATTTAACGTTAGCGTTGACAGCTTATTTCGGTTCTGTACTGTTAGCGGGGGATGTTCTCTGGTCTGTAAATGCTAGCAGAATTTCTAGCGTCCTAGACGGTACTTTATAGTGTTTTTAGCAGTTTTTGAAGACCAAAAAAATCTAAATAAGTGACAGATTTTTTAGAACAATCCAAAAATTCCGAAAATTTTATGTATTTTGATGAATGAATGATGAACTTTATATACTTAAAAACGGCGTATAAAGGTTTATAAAAAGTATATTGCATTATCGGTGCATTAAGGAACGATAGGCCAAAGAGACCCCCTGCTAACGAACAAGTGCCCTCTTTTTTACTGACCCATCCGGTGCATCCGAGATGACGGCTAGTGTATCGAAGGTGAGCAGCACTTTTTCGAGATTCTGCTCGCCCTGCAGCCCATCAAGAATGTATGTGCACGTCGAGTTGGCTGGGTATTTGTGCGGGTACTGAAATAACGTTAAAATACAATATAGAAGGTTACGAGTCTAATCAATTTTTATATTTTGCCTACCTGAGGACTATGGATGTGATGTGTGGTCTCCTTGTTGCTCTCCACCCTCACATCACATTCGCTGCCCCGCACGTGCGTTACTCCCTTCTAAAAATTAGCATTAGGGAACCGAAACTCAGATATTTCACCTCTCCGCCAAGTAACTGCTCGACATCGACGAATTTCGAAGATATCTCGTATTCAAGGAAGAAGCTGAAGAATTTGTCTATAGTATAAAAACTGTACTTGTCTATTTACCCTCTAGGATCTCCTTTGCTAGAGCCGGAAGTGTTGAAGTGGATCAAGAGATCGGAACCCACCGAAAAGACTTCTTCTCTCAGTTGTAGGCCGCACATCTGAATATTTGTAAGTTAATCTAAGGTAAGTTATTCTAAGTTTGTTTAATAGTTTTGACTAAATTTAATCCTTGTAAATTGTCATTAAACCGAACAAACTCCCACCTTTCGAATGATTGGCGATGCTGAGGTGGGCCCATCGTAGATTGTGACCGTATCATAAGGGCAACTAAAGACTTTCTAAGAAAAATCCAAAAAAAACGTACTGTTCCCCGCCAAAACACAGGTCAAAATCTTGAAAGAACAGCCGAACGCGCTCGCCCGGTCGTCCCTTCAGATGATAGGCACAGTGGAAGTTGCGCGGGTACGCGCCCGGGTAAGTCGGGCTCAGAATGTGATGGCTTTTTCTAAACGGGAGGCTTTAGGTCGAGCACTGGGCACACTTTTGCGAGGAGTATCGACTCGGCTCGATGAGGTAGTGACACTTATAACCCGTGACCGGCTCGCCCGGAGTGAATTTTTCTGAAAAATAGATTTAGTAGATTTTACGTTTAGGGGCAGTAAAAACTGTAGAAAACCTATTTTTTTTAATAGTAAATCACTTTGGACACTTTGTTTAATAGCAAAACACCTTAGAGACACTTTTTTACTAGTAAAACACTTTCGAAAGACCTTATACTTTTTTTTTAAAACCGGGAAAACACCTACTGTCGTCAATAAATGAATATCTGCCGCGAAAGCGAAAGTCTCGGCCGAGCGTGTCGCCGGCGCGGGAATGAAAGACGAGGACCAAGACATCGTGAAGACTAAAAGAAACAACGAAAAGATTTTTTTAGAAACAGGACAAACCTGATTCGGACATACGGAGACACAGATCCACAATATCGACCCGACAAAGTAGCCGACAGCAAATCCGGCTCGGCCTTCTCCAGCTCCGAGTAGATGTCCACGTATTCGAGTTCGCAGCTGGAAATGGGGTAATTTTTAACGTTGAAAAGGTACAACTCACTTGTCGGCACTGCCGGCCAGCTGGAACTGGTCGAACTCGAGCCTCACGCGCTTGCCCGGTCCCGCGATAAACGTGTATACACACTAAAAAGTTATCATTTAGGTTTTTATAAGAAAACACACATTTACTCGCGATTTGTCGTATACCAAACAACTCAGAACGCACTAGAAATATTATAAGAACAAAAGATCCTAAAAAGGAACGCGCAGCCAACACCAAAAAGATAGAATTTTTACTAAATTAAATTTTATAACTGCTTTTAATAATTACTCGGTATATCCTCCCGAAAACAAAAAAGGCCAGAAACTACAATAAAAAAATTTTGTAAAAAAATTACAAATCGCCGTCCCGGGATTATACTTAATCGGTTGTTACCTGCAGATTCTTGATGGGTGCCCGTGTGGCATCGAGGTGTTGTGTGGGGATTTTGGGAAGTCGCGGGAACGAGAATTCGCCCCGCGACGCGTTGTGTATCCAATCCACTTGGTCGTCGCAATCTACCACCCCAACCGTTAATTTAATACAGTAGCAAAATACTGCCGCCATGTCTAACCCACGGCTCCTAATATTTTTTTTTTGTAAATTTTAGTGGCACCACCGACAACCCCGCGCTTTATTTATATTTTATTTTATTTATATTTAGAAATTTCTAGGCTTGACGTGCTTCTTGTGGAGGTAAACTTACGAACGTACAGATACGCACAGACTCAAGATTCTCGTTCTGGATCGTTAGCGGAGGGTGCGGTTAAAACAGGGGAAAACGAAACTCTCTCCGTATTTTATCGACGCCCAAAACTTAAAAATCATCGTTTCTTCGCCTTTAGATCTTTAGATTCAAAAAAAATTATAAAATTCATAAAATTATAACGATTTTGGCAAAATGTCCAATTTTCCGCAAAAAACCTTTGTAAAAGCGTCATTTTAAATAGTTTGATACCTTTTTAGTAATTCGAAACTCTCAATGACACCATGGAAAAGTTTATTTTTTATTAAAATAGAGATTTTTTTGATGGAATAAAGGTATTTAGATTCTCCCTGCCGCCCCCCTCCGTTAACGATCCAGAACCCATAAGGCCGATAACAACAAAAACGAACTCCTCGTACGCGAGCACGCCCTTCAGCCAAAAGACCATGATGAGCACGAGAAGGCAGGCGATCACTAGCGTGAATAGAAGGGCAAAAATTATGTCGCAGTCGAGCGATCGGCAGCAAGCACAGTCTTCTCGCACCTCGTCCGCCTTTTCGAATTCGAGTAAATCGATGCGTGTCTCGACGACCCTTTCCAGGGTCCTCATCCGCTCCATCGGCGGACCCGGCGGCTGTCGTTTCGTCAATGATTGGGCGACTAGATTCGAGCACCGTAATTGGGTGTATCGCGTAGTGGGTGTGAAGATGTGCTTAAAAAAGGCTATCATCTTCCTATTTATTTCATGAAGAGCAAAAATGATGACAAAAAATGAGAGCTGTTAGATGGTGCAAAGTATTGAGTTTGTAATGGACAGGGTATAAATTCTGTAATTTTGGGTGCTTTAGCATTATCGGGGGGGCATAGTTTTAGTAAAATTGGCCGACATTTCACGTAGTTTTTTCGTAGTTATTATTTCTTATTTAATTCGACATTTGGTTGAAAATCAGTCAGGTTTGGCTGAAAAATCGATAATTCACATGTTAAATTTTTTGCTTACGTTTCGGAATAGTAAAAATACGGACAAAAATTGTTCTATGAGAAAGGAGGAAGATAAGGAAGATTAGAGTCTCAGGAAAAATTACCCCCACCCCCCGATAATACAAAAGAACCAAAAAAGCAAAAAATAAAAATCGTGAGCGGATCCGACCCCGTACCATCTTCAGACGCCGACTACTAAGCCACTAGGCCACCAGGACACGGTGGTCAGGGTGTGGGGAGAGCCTATGAAGGTATGACCAAAAACTTTAAACCGTTGTAACTTTGTTAAAATAAGGTATCAGCAGCTAAAAGTTACATCAATCGATTCGTCTCGTCGGCCTACAAGATGCGCATACTCATATATCTGGGTCCGATGTCCGCCCGAAACCATTCCCTTGTAAAGACGACACGAAATTAGGGAAAATCAATAAATCATTTCACAGCCATTGCCTAACCAATAAAACTTGTTTATTTTAATTTTTAAAGGAATGCAACAAGTGATAGGGAAATGAGAGCCGGCTGCCCGGCCAATTTTCGACTCTCTATTGACAAGCGGCTGAGCACACAAACTGCGCTCTCGGCAACAAAAAGCCCGGGTCGTCTCAGCCCGGATTTTGCGGGGGTATCGAGAAAATAATCGGCCGGGCGATTGGTTGGCAGCTTCTAGGTGGGTTCTGTTAGGTAAATGAGCTTTGAGTTGATCGGTAACCGGTCAAACACCGCCCATCAAGGTCTGTCAGCCGCTGTCATTCAACATGGCACCTACATAGAAGAAAGGGCCTCAAGGACGGGCGTTTCAAATCCAAAAATATTCGGAGAATCGAGCATTCCGAAAGCTATATACATAATGCTAAAAAACGTCTAAAAGCTAGATTTCTCGGATTATGAACCAAAACCTATAAAAGTAAAATGTTTCATTCGCATTAACGGGGGAGGGCCAATATTTTCTTAAGAATAGAAATGTCCGGTAATGTCATAAAGTTTTAATAGCCTTTTATAAAAACTTGACTGTACCTAAGTGGAAAAGCTATCGAAAAACCTAGAAATTCGAAATTTTGGTCGAAAATCTCGGAAATCTTGGTCGAAAACCCGAAATTATGGGTAAATGTTATTTTTAAAAACAGTAAAAAACAATCTAGAAACGCTCCTCCTCTTTTTATATTAGAAATTGGGACCCCCAGGAAAAAACTTATCCCCCCGATAATGCAAAAGGGCCAAAAAATGTGCACGAAAAATTACAGAGAAAAGCTACAAACCGAAAGAGTTTAGTAACTCCAGCGAAAAAGCAGCGGTAGAAAAGATTGCTATGAATTTTACTGGAAACTAGGACAAAGCCAGAATTCTGCTGTCTGTTCAAAACCCATCAAACAATCTGTTCGGACCAAAAGTCAATGGTAGGAGGGCTAAATCGTGATCGGCAGGGCTTCTGCACGAAAAGGTTGTGGCGTCGTGTCAAAAGATGGCCACGAAAAGGGAGGACAGCAGCAAGCCAAGTGGACGAAGCAGGGATCGGTCTCTCAACTTGAGAGCCTCGCAAATAATCCACTACCAACCCACTCACCCCACACACTATCCTCATCCTTCCTCCTCCTCCTCGTCCAGAGCTGACTGCAAGCTCTCTCACGCTCATAACAGCCGTCATGGGATATCCTATCCTATAAGCGAGAAAAGTATGTTTGTTTTCTGTACGGCCGTTTTCTCGACCGTCAGGCCGAGTTTCGAGCTGATTTTTGGCATGGCAGTGGGAAATACCATTCATAAAAAACGGTTTTTTGGATTTTTCAAAATTCTTTCATTTAACGATTTTACAAGCAAAAATGTGAAAAATCCTTAACATTTTTGGGTGCGCACGTTGTCCGGAACTTTTCTCGGCCCTTAGAGGGAATTGGACCCTCATCTTTGGAGGGTATATGGCTAAAGTATTTCCCCAGATACATTTTTTCCGATTTTGCTAAATTCTTCAAAATAAAGTTTTTATAAGGATTTTTCTGAAAGGTCCTTAATAAATCGCGTCACGGGCCGTGGTGTCCAGGCCATAACTCGACGCCCTGATGGAATTTCGGGCTGAAATTTGGACCGTTTATGCAACCAGGGGTGGGGATCATGCGCATCTTTTATCTTTAAAAACTTTCCACAGATTCCGACTAAAAAATCGAATTTTGTGAAGTGACGAGCAGGCCTCCCTCCGGGATCATTGGTCACCCTTATCTTTGCCGGCACCCCCGCTCCCCCTAGGGCAGAACAGGCCTTTCCCGCACCCCTTCCCATGTTCCCCTTGGTGTAGTGGCTTAGTTCTCGGTCTACCACGCACTTGGTTGTGAGTTCGGTTCCTGTGAGAATTTAACTTTTTGCTTTTTGGTAGTTAGGTAACAAAACATATTTCTAGGCTCTCGGTGTGCGAGGTAAAGCCTGGCTCCCGCTCTAGCGCCGCAGGCCAAAGAAAAGGCCCCTGGCTCGGGCTCTCGCGCCGCAGGCCAGATCCTGGAGAAAAACCAGTAGCTAGCGCCGCAGGCTCAAAGATTCGAGCACAATGCTGGCTCTGGCGCCGCAGGCCAAAGAATGGCTCCCTGACTCAGGTTCTAGCGCCGCAGGCTAAAAAAAGAATGTATTCAAATGCATGGGTCCTGGACGGGGTCCAGTGGAAAATGGCCGCGAAGCGGTCTTTTTCCACTGGTTTTAATGGATAATGCGTAAAAAGAGCCTTTAAAATAGGTACTGGACTGTTAGCCTTTAAAATAGGTACTGGACTGTTAGCCAGGGCGGGGGGTAAAATTTGGCCTGTCGCGTCGCTTTAAAGTATGCCATAAAAATTCCGAAATTGAAAAATGTTTATTTTTGGTCAAAATTCATGAAGACAATAAAAATTTCAATTTTCTAAATTAGTTTAGGACTTTTTAGGCCAAACTGTTGATATCTGGCCAAAATGTATGAAAACCTTAAATTTTTCACTTTTCTAAATTTTTATGACCTTTTAGTAAGCAAAAACTGCCAGAAACAGTTAACAAATACTGTAAAACGCTAAATTCTTTTAGGTAGCTATAGGCGAAACAGCTTTTCCACCCCTGCTAACAGTCCAGTGCACAAAACTCGATAAACCAAACTAGCCGGCGGGACTTTTTGCTGGAGTTGGCCGGCGGGGGCGCGGGCGATGGCAAAGGCCCAGGCTTAGCATAATGGGCCAACAACTAAGCCTCCCATCGACTTCTTGCGCGCAGGCAAAAGCAAAGGAACATATGTGGCAGGTGGACAAATGACTCGCGCACCGATCTAAAGCCAACCGGAACATTGGGCAAAATGAAAAAAAACGAGAATGCTTTTTCGAAAATCGCGTTAACTCTAAAAACTTCAAAGATAAAAATCTGTATCGGCTATAGGAAGTAAACTAACTATTCTTAGGAATAAATATGAAGAGAAAACGGGCCGGTATCAAAATCAGTCGATACCTAGCTTGATAAAGGTAAAATTCCTTTAGTACAACCACTAAAAATTCCCTTCCAACTTCAACCGAAACAGACCCAAGCCTCAAAATCGCATTCGAAAATGGGATGAGATGCGGTAGACCCCCTTCCAAATGGACCACCCCCAAAAAACCCCGCCTGCAGACGGGGTTAAACAACTTGGGTGGGCCCGGCCGTTCTTCTCCATTCACTACTCGTTCACTACATAACATTCTTGCCGATACACACCATTCACCCTAAATACTCCCCCCCCCACCCCGGCTAGCACCAGCTGTTTTAACATTCGATGCCCAAGCGTGTCAGTAGGCTGTCCGCCCCGTCAAACCGGAAAGCCGCCGGGTTGTCGTTTTGTGGTCGCCCAAAAAATCAAATTCGAGATTTCCAGCATTTTCGACAAAGTAGCCCCCGATAGCCGGTTGTACATGGCGGCAGTTTTAGAAAATCGAAAAATTTCGTTGAAAGCAACTTACGGAACAGCGTCTCCAGGGTCAAGGCACCGAGTCGGAAGGCGAAGAAAAGGAATACTACCCGTATCGTCTTTATGTAGTTGATGCCCATGGCGGCGACGCGGAGTTCAGCCGCCATTTCTTGATTGCCTGACGTTTCTCAGCTCACCATTTTCGATCTAAAATTTGGGATTGCTTGGAAATTTGAAAAGATTCGAAAAATGAAAAGATATTTATGGCAGAATCTAGCTTATTGGCAAGGAAGAAACGGAACGTTTAAAGTTAATTACATGGAACTATACAACTTTTTAATCTATTCTACGAGATGAGATGAGACATCAATAAAAACGCCGGCAACCGCAAACGCTTAAGAACGACATGAGACTGCAAAAATCTACCTACGACCTATAGAAGCAGAAACGTTAAGGTGAATCAAGCCGATTTATACTTTTTAATGCGCTCTGGACCATATAACGTGATAATAAAAACGCCAAGAACCAAGAAACGCGCACAAAATGCCAGAAATCAAAAGCAAGCCGATTGGTCCTCCCCTAAAAGTCATGGGTCCATTTCCTTATGGTGGCCAAGAATGGGAAGCTAATAATCGGAGGGGAAGGGGCCAGCCTGAGGCTGAGAAGGGTGTGCCTAGATATGAGCGGGGAGGCTGAGAGTGGAGGGGAGGAGGAGCACAGGAAGTGCCAGAGGAAGAAAGCCCCGGTCGGCTTTTCCTCTCTTGGGGCCCACAACTCCCCCTCGCCATCCATTGGGGTCCTTGAGGTGCACACCAGGCGCGCTCCACCAGCCCCGTCGCCTCCTTCGTAAATTATGTCATTCTCCCATGCGGATTTTGCTGCCGGTGAAGCGCAGGTGCTTCTGGAGGTGTTCTTCAGGTTCGTTGACCGGTGATACGCGGAAGGAAATTTGAGACCAACGCCCGGCAGCTGCTGCAGAAATGCTGTAAAAGAGGGCAGAGGGGACAGTGGATGGGAGCCTACCACTCAATATGTAATTAACCCGAAATTTCGATATCATTCACTTCCCCCCGGAAAAAGCTGTCGTAGCCAGTAAAATGTAAGGATCTTACTATACCGGCATAAAAAACTAAACTACCAAACCTTGTTGCGGCTACAACATAGTTCTTGCGTTGGGGTATCGTCGTCTCCGGTTCCATCCATTTACCCCGCCTCATGACGAGCCCAATCGGATATCCCCACCATAATTGGGATCTAGCACGGCGCGCGCTCCCAAGGGATAGGCCTGAGCGGTGCCAGAGTCCGCAGCCCAACACAAGTCCAAAGCGTAGCACGAACTGCAATGAATTTTCAGCGGTGGCGCCATGACCCAAAGAGCGAGACCACCGCTTACGTCTTCTCCAATTTGCATCGATCCTTCCGACAGAAAGAAGCAGAAGAAAGGGCGGCGGTTATTTTGCAAATTATAGCACCTTCTGGGGTTGCAGCCCTCCTCAAAACCAAACTGAAATGCAGCAAAATCAGAGACTGTGGGATGAATTTTATCGGAAAATTACCTGAAAAATGTTGCAAAGAGCTATAAATATAATAAACACAGATTTCACAACGGACTGTAAAATACAGCGGAAAATAATAATCGCACAGGAAAAGAAGCGTTCGATGCATGACGAACAAAAATAGGGGGATTAGTAAAAAAAGATTATATTGTTAGCTGTTGTATACACATGGTGTCCTGTTGTAAAAATGAGGTAGCTTGGCCAACGGGTAGGCGAAAGACGGCTTCAGACGTAACTTCTAAAGCACACTGCAACATAGCGCAGAAGCAAACCTTCAAAGGAGTTTGCTGCGAGCTGCTATCAATAAATTGTTGTTTCCGAGGCGCGATGTACCAACACTCCACAGAGGTGACCGGCTTTGGTGTTTGCGACGTCGAAGAGACCTAAATAAAGATGAATTCTAAAAGAGAAATCTTACTGCAATGCTGCTTGACTTTCCAGCCGTGGCTTCCTCCGGAACCGGTCCATTTTGGTTCAAAAAAATCTTCCATGGCACATGAACGTTACTACCGACGCGGACTCCATTGAAGATCATTTCCTCCCGGGCTATGAAGCCACCGGGGAGTGCCTGCAAAACGATAAGAACAAGATCAAGGAAGCAACCTGTTCTACGTTGCTCTGAACTTCTGCAACCACTCGTTCGTCAGTCTGCTCCAGAAAGGGACTCCTTATCGAGCCCATCAGCTTTTGCAGAAGCTTTGCGGCAGAAATTGGTTCCGGCATCTTTGAAAAGCTTCCGATCGCCTTGTTGATCATCCGAAGCAGTTCCCAGGGGTGTGTACTTCCGCGCTTTTCGTGAATCAGTCGCAGTGATGAGAACGCTCGCTGGGCATCTTCGTTTGTATCGAAGACCTAAGAAAGTAGGTTGTGAAGGTACGCGAAAGAAAAGCAACTCAAAACGTATACCAACATGACAGAAGTTTTCGAAGAGGAAGGCAACTTCATAAGACAGCTGTTCAATGCGACCGGTATGTTGTTCGAGGAATTCATGGAAATCAGTGCATCCTTCAACTGCATAGACGAAGCCATATAGGGCGCGGGTAAGATGCCGCATGCCCTTCGCGTAATAGTACGGGTCTGAAAAAGACTTTAGAACGCAAAAAAAAAAAGAATTTACCTAGCGTCTCTGTGAAGAACATAAACGACTGGAGGCAGTGTTGCAGGATCTGCGCCAAACGTTCCAGTTGTTCGAAAGAGATTGCCGCCTCTAGAACTTCTTCCATCTGGGTCATTGCATCGCAAAAGTACTGCGCACATTGATTACGCAGCATCTAAAACCACTCTCAGGAGTAAATTTTATGGCATATATACCCTGTTCGGCCTGAATGCAGCGCAGAGATGGAAGACCAGTTGGGTGAGCTCAAGGAAATCGAGGCGGAGTGGAGTAGGTCCGTTGTTGTACAACTACAGCGGGTCTACACGGCGTGAAGTTGAAATACCTTTTGGACTAGCAAGACGGTTTGTTCATAATCCACTGCGGTCAGATCCTGAAGCTTGTTTCTCAGGCCTTCATATCTCGAGAGCATTATTTGCAGATCTTCCTCCTAGAAGAAGCTTATAGTTGTAAATCCTATCTTACCAGGGAAGTGGGTGTAAACTTGGAATATTCAAGCCGCATGGCGGCGATTGCCCTCTTCAGATCCGTGGCCTGCGGGCTCATGGATAAGCGCGCAGCAACTTCGAGATTGCTAGCGAACTGCAGGCCATCTTCATCGCTAACATCCTCGGCAAACACCTCGTCGACCCGCGTCGGGCAAGATTCATCGTCCCTAAAAACGAAAGGAGTGAAGAAAATGGGCAGTTACGAGAGCGCGTTTTGTGAAGAAAATCCAGAGTCCCCGCTGAGGCGTCGGTCTCGTAGGGTTGGTGACGCCGTCTAAAAGCAAAAAGGTTAAAATTAGGATAAAAATTTACTTTTGATTCCCCAGCTACATCATTTGTTCTTGGCATTAGTTGGTTAGTGATCATCTGAAAGAAGGAAAACCTGAACATTCCCTGAGCCAAAGAGGAAAATTCGCAAAGGAAAATTGGCAGAAATTTTAGCAAAAATGAAAAAACAAAAGGATCTCGCAAAAAATCGAACATCGAGGGATGGAAAGAATTTATTGGATTTTACAAGCGGTTACGGTAGTCCGTAGTACGACATTGACGGATACCAGAACGATCTGTCACACGGAGCTCATGTTTTTGCTTTAAATTTTCGCCAGATTTTCTTTTGGAAAACTTTTTGTGTACTCTTTTTTTTTATATATGGCAAAAAAACCTGGTATCATCCACCTTACCTGGCACTTTCAGGCTCAAATGGCGCAAGTAGCCCAGAAAACGCTGCGAACGCGCAAGGCCACTCCGACCGGGTGCGAGGACCTGGACCGCTACGACCTCGACAAGTTCCTCTACAATCTGGGCCTCGTGCGCAAGACGATGCCGTCGGACGGCAGCGGTGTCTATCGCTCCGCCTGCGAAATGGTAAGGCTCCCCTTTCGCAATCCGATAAGCTTTCAACCTAGGTAACCGGGACACAAAACAGCCATGCGACCCTGAAACGCTACATTGAGACCGGGATCACCGAGAAAAACCCCAGCTTCCCTTTGGGGCTGTGCGAGCGCGAGCGAAACGAACTGATCCTCACCGAAATGTCCAGCTTGTTACGGTAATGCATAGCTAATCTTTCGAACAGTTTTCTTCAGGCGAAACATTGTTTTGTACGAAGAAGATGGGACAGTCTTGCGCTTTGATACACCGGCTGGCAAACCTGATGGCAAGGTAACGCTCTTTCCCGGCTTTGCAAGTTTTCTTCTCCAGGAATTGATGTTCTGCTACGCCAATTCGGGCTTGGAAGCAATCTACAAGGTCGAAGAGCACGTCACTCTGGCTGTTGCTCAAGGTTTTTTATGATTCTAAAATACTTACCTCATTTAGCTGTCACCTACAAAATCTTGTACAACGGGGTTTTCGAAGAGCCGAGGCACACTATTCGCTACGCTATTTCGTCAATACGCGAGGACATTGACCATAACTGCAGCGAGCCCGACGTCGTTTCCGTGAACCGGGACGAAGGTGGACGGATTATTATTGGGGAAAAGACGGCTCATTCTCAGAGCGACAGTCTCAAGAAGAAACAGCGATCCATGAAGAAGGTTAGACTTGTTATTTTATTATAGAACCTTTGTAGTGTCCTCCTGTGCCATTTTCTGCGTGCAAATCTTTGGATCCATCGATCTACCGCAATGTGGCTTTTGACTTGTTCATCCGAGGTCGTCGCGATCACCGTGCAAACCCAAGTAAATTTCGATGTTTTGCGATGATCTAAATTTTTAGCGAAAGGAGTCAAGAGCCAGGTGTTCGATCAGGCGGCCTACGTAGGTTTCCCCGTTGGAGCCTCTGTCCTCGTTCCCGATTACAAGAAAACCTACCATCTTGGCCTGGTCACTGAAGTAGTTCACGAAGACATGCGACGCGTGCAGTTGGTCGCCACAAATGAAAAGTGTGCTTCAAAGAATTTATACAATCTTTCTTTAGACTGGTTGCATCTGTACATGACCTGGTGGCCTCCCGCTACGAACCCGGGTGCAAGCCACCAAGCGATCAGATTTACCCATCAATGTAAACGTCCAGCGGATGCTTTAATATAGCTTTTTTTCAGCTTTGCGAAAGGCGACAAGTCTGAAGAAAAATCGGCGGACCGGAGCCTCAGGCCGTCGCCTACATCAAATGTTTCCGGGTCTTCGCTGTCGAAGCGTGATTGGGACTACCATGCGGCGAACATGCTCAAGTCAGATCGCAGTCTGTTTGGACCGTTCCCGAATGGTCAGTACCCAAGTTTGCATCGATCAACTGATGTTTTAGTCGGTACGAAGACCTACCTCATGAATACGCCGAAATCGAAAAAGCCGCCGGCGCTCAGTTTCTTCAGTGACAACCAATCTTCATTCCCTACTCCGCCTAGCCAAGTATCACGCTCCCGCCCTTCAAAAATATTTTTTTTCAGAATAAGTCTTTGTCGCCCGCTCACATGGGGAATGATCTTGACAAGCTATTCCCGCCATTGCCGTTCGATGATCTGGATCAGGTAATTTGAACTGTATTTTTATACAGGCTTTTTAGATCCGCTTCAGCTGGCCTCTGCCCATTCGTGTCCCTGGGTTCACTCGTCAGCTTCTTGATGAGGTCCGCACTTCGGTGTTGCTCGCAAAGACTTCTATTCTTGCTGATGGGTCGGATCTGCCTCAAAGTTTGTCGTTGGGCTGCTTTGAATATTGTTCCTTAGACATTGACACCCTGCGCTTCTTCTACAATGTGGGCTACGAGGCGTACAAGCGTGCTGTACTGGGTGGCTCCGAGAAAGGCATGGACTTTTCGAAGACCTTTGAGCCAACTGCGGTCCCTCTCCCCGAAGTGCACGGCCGGCCATTGTATGAAGCCGAGGATGGATGTCTTGTGGCGGTAAATCATTCCCCATGGTGTCAACCGTCGTTTTAGTATTTTCCCGAAGTTCCGCCGCTGACCGAGCCTCTGGATTCACTTCCTGAACGAGTGCGCGACTATGCTTTTCCAGTCATCGGTGGTGTTCGCACAGGTATTTTTTTATTGCTTCACTTTATTCGGAATTTCAGTGTCCGGCTGTCCGCCACCTGGAGCGAAGCCTCATCATAAGCGTCTTCTCTTGTGAATTGTTTTATCGATTGTGCTTTGTAAATTTGTACTTTCAACTTTTTACCTGTTAAATCGACAGCATTGTTTTATCCGTTGTTATCATTCTGTGTTTTAAGATCACAGCAAATCGTTTGCAAGTCAGTTCTGGCAATAAACTGCAGATATGTACATGTGGCTGATCGTGCGTAATCGAAATTTTTCTATGGATGGAAGTTTAAATTAATTTATTCAATACACCCATTGAAGACTAGTCTATTACAGAAGACAACGCAGAGATAAAGAATCAATTATAGCAACAGATCACAAGAAAGAGGGAATAGTACATTATTTATAAGAATATGCCGCATAGTATTCGGCTAATTGAGGGTCGAGCTGAGGCGGATAGGCATAGGGGGCCGCCGCAGGTGCTGGAGGTGGCCGGGGCTTCATTGGCTATAACAAATCAATTGATGAGAAGGTCATTACCATGGTTACCTCTGTATAGAACTGATAGTCGGGTGGGTTCGGGTAGCTCGGTGTCGGTTTGGGATAGCTTGGCGCGGGGTTGTGCCCAAGGAGCCCGGCTCTTTGTGGCAATTGAGGGGGGCGGTGATTCGAGAGCGGAGCACGTGAACCTGAAATCAAAAGTTTAACACTAAAAACGAATAAAACTTTCTTACCGCGTTTGCTTGATGCAGCCATATTGGAGTGCTTATCGTGGCGCTGCGGTGGCTCCAACAGATATGGGTTAAAGCGAGAGGAGGGGCCGCCGGCAACGTGCTTCTCGTGGCCTCCATAATCTTGTGGGCCTCCGTAACCTTGCGCGTGATAGTCGTAGTCAGTGCTGAGTGACGGTCGGCCATGGTAGTCGTACTTCGAACGAGCCGGGGTATCATAGTCATAGCGGGGCGGACGGTCGTTAAAGTCATAGCCCAAAAGCGGCACCGGACGATCGTCAAAGTTTCCGGCGCGTGGAGGTGCGGCCGGAGTCCAACGGCCTGGAGCCTCGGGCAGTTTCTTTGGTTTCATAATGAACGTCTTCTCAAGCTGAAAATACATAGACTTAAAAGAGGAAGTGTTACGCACCACTGGTAAGGCCTTGCTTGAAGTTGATGGGTCCTTCGGCCTAACCTTCGGAAGAGGTGTGAGGTTGGGTATTGTGTTGCCATAGGCATCCAGTTCCTCAGAGTTGTCTTCCTAGAAAGTATAAGGGAGCTTCGTTTTTATACTTTCAATCGAACCTCTCCAGGCAGTCGGCATCCGCAGTTCGTAATGTGCTCATGGCGAAGGACACGAAGCAGTTGGCCGCGCGTATTCGGACTGCACGAATCGTTGGGGGCAAGTAGCGTCTGCATCACTGGATGTTTCGAAAGGGACAGTGCCTGTATGCACATGTTCGAGACGATTTTACGGTACAACGGCCCACTGACGACACTAAATAAAGCCAAATTTTAAGAAAATGGCTAAAATCACCGGCAAGAATTCGTTCCGGTATAAGCATCAACGATGGCGATGTGGCTTTTGTACCTATCCGGAACGGAGGACCTAGGCCAATAAGTTAAGAAAGGCTGATGCCTCACTTTGGTAGAATGCGCGCATCCTTGATTGAGATAGCCTTCCGACGGTAGTCCAGATTCGAATAGTAGTGGAAGAACCCGACAATTTGTTCGTGTATCGGCGTGCCGTTGTTGCGCCATTCTAAAGAGAATCCATAGAAAAGCTATAAAACGTACCGGGCGTCGGGATGCGAGAAGTCGCCTGTAGATCGCTTTCCCAAAGCAATGCATCCTTGCCAAACTGGAAAACAGTCGAAGTTAAGGAAAATAAATCCTACCATTTTGGGATAAAGGTGGTGGAGATTAGGGAGTACGGGTGGCTCGAGGCAACACTGCATGTAATGGATGACCATGTGGCATAGATTCGTCCTAAAAACTGTTTAAAAAGCAAACATTAAAAAAAACCCGGTCAAAAACAGCGGTCCCTGCTTCGAAGCCAGATTGTTTGCCGCCCATCCTTTGATGGTGACCGCCACTTGAGCAAAACGCTTGTCGACCCTGAAATCAGCATTTTGGCTGGTGCTCCAAACTCACTTCGTATAATTGTAGATAAGATGAGCATTGTAGATAGAGGCGATATCGTTGATGAAGAGGGTGATGGGCAGAACCTTATCGGTACCGGTGCGCAAGTTGATTGGGACACCGTCGCCGCCAGACGGGTAGTAGGACAGACGCACATGCGGCAACTAAGACGAATCACACTAAAATTCGAGAAGATTCATACCTCCGGTCCCATCACGATCTCGCTCGTTCCATCATACTTAAAAAAGTACATAGAAGAATCCCATTAATCGGAAAAAATACCGTATCATCGGCATCTCCGTATTCGAGGAACTTTAATTTCCGATTTCCCAAATTCCGCCCAGCCAAATGACGCGTGATGCGAGACAAGCAATCTGTGACGTAACTGAAAATAGAGCTGACGTTGCCTGACTAAAAAAAAGACTCACTCTCTGCTCTGATTCAAATCGCGCCGGATCGGCCGATCGTCCATATCGGCGGGGAAGGGCTCGTCGATGACGAGGGTACACTCCAGGGCCGTCGTATCCGAGCCGCACCCATCCGCCGACGCCCCAATTGGGAAGATCCGCAGCGAATTGAGCGGAAAAACCTAAACACACAAAAATATGGGCATACATAGAAAACTCACAATTTCCAATTCGTCTTTCAGGGCTTTCATGGCGTTCATTTTTGTGTCGATTGTGTGCTGTTTCTAAACAAAGATTCATCTCAAGATTATGGACACTAACCGGTTTCTGTGTTTCGTAGTACTCGAGAATATCGTACACCCAACGCTTGTAGAGTCGTTTATGGATTCGACGCTCCGTGAACATTTGCTAAAATAAAGGTAGCGGATTATGAATTGTCAGATTACCTTCTTGATCTGCTTGGCTTGGGCTTTGTAGGTGTAGACGCCAAGTCGTGGATAGAAGGTGGATGTTTCGAGAGGAGGGTGATCTTCCCACGTTGGATCTTCGTCGTCTTCCGGGTAGTGTAGTAACGACTTCTCCGCCTCCTCTTCATCACCGTCGTCCTCTTTTTCGGAACCCTTATTCGCGGCATCATTAATGCACTTTTCGTTTAATTTTTCCACGGCACCCGGTTTTTCTGTGGAACCGTCATTAGAATCAGCTTCGGATTCCACTTTCTCTCCAGATTCCTTCCTCTTCTCAGCGGCTTCTTTGCGGCGTTCGTCGTAAAACTAAATTCACTAAATGCAAGTCCGAGCCTTTTGCTTACGGCTTTTCCCGGATCGTACCAACCATTGCAACAAACTTGATAGTATTCCGCTTGTGGTATCTGGAAAATTTGGATATTGCAAGACAAAAAAAAACAGCAAATCGAAATGCCCTTCCAACCGTACCTTTGGTGTCAAGTCGATGGAATTTTGCTCATCTTCCCATGGTTGCCGCCGCTTCTGTGCTCTCGTGTACTTAGGAGGTCTGACCCGACCCTCCGTAGGCTTCGCTTCGGTCATCAATTAGACCTGACAAAATAGCAAAGTCCCAGAGTTGCCTTCAGGACAAAGTAATCATGCGAACCGAATCCATATTAGGTCTTACTCAAAGAACAATAACAAAATATTTATCAGTTAGTCGAGCATCAATTGAACCCGCAAATCATCAACGTGAAATAAATAATAAATTATGGACGAGGGAATTGGAGGTTCTTCAAATCAACGAGGTGCCGCAGCGTCGGACGACCATGAGGACAGTTCTAAAACAATTTTAAAAATGTTAGATAAAAATTTACCCAAGGGTGATCGAGAGTGCCGAGGTGGGCTACGATCTAAATTCAGGCGGTTTTTAAAAAAAAACAAGTGACCTCTTCCATTTTATTCTGCGTCAACGCATCGCCGACCATAACAGATGTCCGACAGGCGCGGCTAGCAAAAATCTTTCTGGAATAAAAACTTTCTAAAAAAACAATCAAAGGCAACCTCAACTTCCGCGGTCTATACATTTCGCTGGGATGCTCCATAACAGCCGATAGAATTTCATCAATATCTAAAGATATTTTGAGAGCTATATTTTAGGATTTACCGGAACGATCAAATTGATACTTGGACAACACGGGGCACGCAGCCAGATAGGCGGTATCTGAAAGACAAAAAAACATCTTGGAGCTAAAATTTAAAATACCATCCCGGAACTCGATCTCAAATCCATTTGCTTCAAAGATCCGCAGGTTTTCTTGGAGGGCCGACTCTTGGACTGCGCCGAGTTGTAGTGGAATAGGTCTATACCAAAATACATAGAACAAGAAAATTATACATACCGGAGCATCTTTTGTGTGCAAACTTTCGCGGACTTCTGGAAGCGCTCAAAGTTGTACCTTAAAATGGATACAATTACTCGAAAAGGCATAAATCACTTTTCGTCGGCTGCATGCTGGTCAACGATGAAGAGATGATTCTGCAGTCTGGTGATGATGAAGCCAAGGTTGAACTGGCCGATCACTTCCATCTCAGCAAAGTCAGTTTTGCTAAAAAATGCGCATTTCACGTAATTAGCTCCCCGACTGACGATAAAGCCTTGTCGAGCTCCCGTGTTGCCTCTTCCGATTGAGCTGGCGCGATGGCATCGTCAAAAACCTTTCGAAAAATATTATTTAAATCAAGAAGATACATACAATTTGTTTGGCGGTCTCCGTTTTGTGGGATTTCCGGTCTGCCAGGGCCGTTAGTCTCTCAAAATACTTGTCGCTGTCGATTGGTAACTAAAATCCAAAACTCAAATAAAAAAGGCAAATAACCATTTGTGAGGTCCTGTAGCGGACTTTCGGGGCAGTTTGAGACGATGCTACGATGGTCAGCTCTTCTTCCGGATCTGACACCGCCTTTGGCCGTTCAAAAACCGACTGGGAGAGCGGCTCCTAAAGCTTTGACTAGACAGCTTGCATAAAATATACCTGTTTTACCGTAGTCGTTGGCCAAGCAAGGTTCTCTTTCTCAGCATCGGCAAAGCCAGCTGCAGAAGTGCTCGGTTTTTGCGGAGACATTCTGGCGACCATTGGAGAGCGACTGCGGGTCGCCATCAATTCTACTGCAGGAGCACTTACTAAATAACTAATCTAGAGGCAGATAATGCGTTGAGTACCAGATCTCCCGTCCACAGGCGGGTCTGATGCCTCCAAAGCCAACGTCTGGCTCGATTCAGGGGTCGGCTCTTTTTCTGAATACAACAATTGTCAATTTAAATTATCCTAGCTTACCGTGATTTTTCTCCTTTTCCAAGATAATAGGGCTAAAATAAGTGAGTCTGGTTTGTAGTAGTGAGCCAGGAGTATCATGTGACGAACCACTGGAAAACGGTTTCGGCCGTTTGAGCCCGATCGAAACATCCCGCAGCATTGGGCGCTTCGTACCCGACGCGGCATTCTAACCAAAATATTATTTAGCCTTCAACGATATACCTTGAGTACATCAAAAATGCTAGGAACACCGGTGGGAACGCCCGGGGTGCCCGGCTCATCCTTCTGCTTGCAAACGGTCGTCTGGGCCCCAAGAAGCGGTTGTAGGGTTTGAAGGATCGCCGATTTAGCCTAAAAACAATAGAATATTTAATAGCGAGCGTACCGAGGCCAAAAGCAGCTTTTCCTTGGCGACAAAGACAGTCCGTTTGTCCGGGGTCACATTGACTTCTAGCATTTCTAAGAAAATGTTTGTTAAGATCTTGGTAGCTACAGATACCTGCGGGGACTTTAATCGGCAGCACGAGAATCGGATATTGAGCCTTGTTATATTGTTGGTAGATCTCATTTATCGCGCGTGCTACCTAAAGCTGGCGATCATCGGATGTCGACCGGAATTTTAATTTAGAGCAAACGAGCTTATTTCAGGCATTTTGGAAAATATGCGCAATAGAAACGCTAACAGCAGCAAACTTCACCTTTGGGTAATCCACGGGACGACCATTCACGAAGACGAACTGACGATCGGCGGAACTCCGGCCGTTACCATGCTCGCAGGAGGAGATGAAGCCGCCAAAACTGTAAAATAGAGTTCATTCACAATTCAAGGTGTCGGCTGCAGTCAGCTTCACCAAACCATAATAATAAGGAAACATAACATACCTAATCTCACTCTGCTCTGCGCTTCCAGCGTCTATGGAATAATTGTGGGCAACGGCCTCATCAAGTTTCCCATCCCATTCGATAGGGACCATTTTTGAGCGATCAGAGCTGCCTCCAAATAGACTTACAACCACCTCTAAAATGATTTTTTTTGTTAATCTCGTATACGAAACAGACCTTTCATGCTTGCCGTGCCTCCAGGGGTCGAGATGAGAACGTTGCGCTTGCTGAATCCGGTTTAATAATTCAACTATCACAAACAGACCCATTGACAGTGTTCGTACAGACGAATTTGATCGTCGGGGATAGCAGGGCATATTCCTAAGTATCCAGTTAGTAGCTATAGCTTTCGTGAAACAACCTGCATCGCAGCCAACAAATGCGAGAATTCTCGCTTTGAGTTTCGCTCGAATTCCTTCCTCCGGACGGGCAGTGTGAAGAGCAAGGAATTGATGGAGATTGTAGTCCCAACCTAATAGAGTTCACGGACAAATAAAATTGATAAACCTGACGGGCTTGCTGAGATCGCTCCGAAATCTGCGGCTTTTGATCATAAACCAGCTTGGTTCCCAACGCATCCTCCGCCGTTCGCGTGAAAACCGTCAATTTCCTGAATAATGACAAATATGTGTATGAATGAAAACGAACGATAAGCTAGCAAGTGAATGCAGAGCTTCTCCGCGGAATCCAAGCGTGCCCAATGTTTGAAAATCGTCGATCTCTCGCAGCTTGCTTGTGGCATGGGGCTGGCCTAAGAGTTTTCTAGATGTAAAATTGACCGCATAGCTTACAAAGCACGTCGAAGTTGTTGCTCGAAATACCTCGCCCGTTATCATCAACCTCCAACAAATCGTATCCATAATTTGTGCATTTTACTTCTAAATAACTGTTACTAAGTGCCGCCACATGTTACTGACCAATAAAAGTGGCCTCCGCATCGATCGCGTTATCCACTAATTGTCGAAGGGCGCTGGCCAAATTTTGAATCACCTGAAAGCCATTCGCATATGCCAGAAATAAGTACTTGTGCAGTGAAAATTTTGCGCACGTCTTCCTCGCCAATGCGCTTGATTGCCGCTCTGGGCTCCATCCCGATGGCGCTCTAGTTCGAATCTAGAGAAATTGCCACTATGTTGGGATAGTGTAAGGTAAATGCAGGTGGACCGGTGTTGTGAAACAAAGTTGATTGGTGGCATAACCGTTTACTCCGCGATACGATAAATTGAAACAAATGCTTGGGCATGACGGACGCTGATGAATTATCACATGGCCCTCATTTGGTAATTGGAAAATCGATGGGGACGTAGTAAGGCACAAGGGCGGAAGAGAAATAGGTAGATCCAATGGTCGGCTTATGTGTACATTTATGAGCACGGGCTGACGTGACGACGGACTTGTAAACCAGCAAGATTGGAAAGCTATGGTTCGGATTCCCCACTCAACTATATCCTCCTAGGCCGCCATTATCGTTTGAAAGTTGCAATGAAAGAGATTCATTCAGACCGAAACCTTAGTTTCAAGGTGGCCGGGGCTTCCAAGTTTCAGCACAAAACGATCAAGTACCCAAAAAACGCGCCGATAAAAGCCAATGATTTGTACGCACCGAACAGCAGTTGACGTCGAACCGTGTTGGCCTAATGAATGAGGAAACAGCGGGATTGACCAGTGTGGAAATGAAGGGTGAATGCGGGAAGGGTACTGTAAAAGCCGGGGCCGTTTTAGTGAGTATTTTAACATTTCGGTGACGTCGTTGAAAGTAATATGATGAAAAGTATTAGACTGGGGAGATCGAGTGGAATAGAGGACAGCGCGAACGTCAGCAAGCAGCATGTGCTGCCGGTCGGCCTAAGGAAATGGGAACAATGAAAGAAATATGGGAAAGCCTAGCATCACATGTACATACTAGAAATGGTACCAAGTGTATCATGGCAAAACCGGAACCGTCGAAGAGGCAAAGATCAAGTTATCCGTCTTCTTTGGGCGGCGTGTACCAGCCGCTCTTGGCGTGAATCTGGACTAGTGACTTGAAGGACTGCTGAGCACGGGCGAGCGTGTAGTTAGCCTAAAGAGACAAGGTAATATATATGTGCAGATAGAAAAAAAACACAAATTTTTCGTACCTTTGTATCGAACTGAATTCGAGCCTTGCCCTTGACCAGAGTGGCTGCGATTTGAAGAATGACGCTCTCTACGGAGTACGCCGACGTCCAACCCTAATTGGGTATTTACGAAGTGCTAACCGAATCTTACCTGTTTTGTCAGCAGTTCCATACAGATGGCGCCACCGCCCAGCACAAACCCATTGGAAACCTGAATCAAAATTATCACCGCCTCTAATTAAACACTACCGACGGGGAGACAAGGCGAACGAATGGCGGTTCGCATGGGAACTTGTCGTTGTAGATGAACTCGAACAGCAGGTGGTCCTGAACAACGATTATTTTACTCAAATAAAATACGCCTATCAAGTCCAGAACCATCGACTCTAAAACCAGGAGGGGAAAAGACGAACCTGCTTGTGTTCATGGGCCAACGTCTGCATATCGTGATGTAGGGTAGAATCCGGGTCGACCTTATGAAGCCGGACATGCCATGTATACAGACATTCGCCCTGTACCTCCACCGAGTAAACATCTAAACAAAATTTTCTCGACATACTGCATGGACCAACTGTTCTTATAATGCTCGCTCCTGTAGATATCACGCAATTCCTTCATCAGGCGATCGGTGGCCGTCACGGAGCCGTTGACGGTACCCTGCAGGTGCATTTGTCGGTTTTTCTTGCTGAGCTTGTCGAGCATTTCGGCTCCCTCCGGCGCAATATCCGGGTCGCCGTGGCTGCTGCGCGGAGCCTCTTCGTCGAGATCCATCATCTAATAATAAAGATGAGAAAAAGCGAAAGCGGAAAAACAAAGCTCCTATCCACCACCCACCATTTGTCGGACATCTTCCTCTGCATCGTCTTCCATATCATCATCGACGTCTTCACTGTCCATATCGTCGCTTCCCTGTCCTTCATCCTTTTCCACCTCATCAGGCGGGGCGATCCGCTGAAGCTCGATCGGATTCGTCAGTCCATAGATTCGGCACAAATCTGCGCACAGATGATGAATCTAAAGAAAATAATAAGATGCTAATCGAATGCATTGGTATCCAAAATTCCCGGCAAACCGAAACAAATTAACATACCTGATAGAGTAAATTAGTACACGTTTCATCGACTGATAGGCGTTCCAGTGACTCGGCGACCGCGTGGTTTTCCTCCTCACAAAACCAGATCGGCGGCTGACGAGGATAGTTTTCCTGCAAAGAAAACTTTTAAGGAATTCAGCAGTTTTCACCTGTATGTTTCCGTTTATCACGATGGACATGCCATTGTTGTCGCAGAAGCGGATCGAAATCTCATCAACGGTGGCGACAACAACCTGAAAACAAAATTTTGAATGTTTCCCCGAAAGATACCTGTAAGCGCTCATGAGTACTGGGGAACAATTCCACCAATGTCTTTAGATCTTCCTTCAATTTGCGCAGGCAGGCCATCTCACCGGTCAAGAGTGGGACCCGATCCGAACCTGCAAAAATAAATAATTTTGAGTTTCTGGCCTCATAAGAAGGTAAGATCGAAAACGTCGAATGAAACGTGGGGGGGCATGAAGAAAGTATCAACCGCCAAATTTACGAAAGAGCGCCTGCAGTGGCAGATGTTCCAAAATATCGACCCAGTTTCTGGCCTCATAAAGGGTCACGCCCAAAAGCCAGAAATAGGTTGGCAATCGAACTAGCCGGATTCGTGCGGAAGGCCTGCTACATTAATAAGGGACAATGGAAAGAAGGGCAACACGAAACCCCGTCCCAGACAAGAGAAAATCAATAAAAAGGAGGCAAATAAACTCGATCGGTCGTCGATTCCAGCAACATGTGCGGAAAGGCGCCACGATTCAAGAAGCCAAAAAGAAAAGGTAAAGGGGACGGATCTGACCGAGATCGATCTAGACGGGGATGTAGAATGTTGTGCGACGGGGAAAGTGCATCGGCTTGGTTGGGAATTGGGACAAGAGGAAGTGAAGAGAGAGACAGGGGCCGGCCGAAGAAGAGGAGGAGGGAGAGTGCAGCGTGACGTGACCGCTCGACACACATAGGGGGCAATGGAGACTTCGTGAAATGAAGTCTGCGTGAGAAAGTCTATTCCTCTAGTAATATTAGTGGGTGAGTTACCCGCGATATAATTGGCATTATTAGAGGTACGATTTATGAAGATCCAGCCCAAAATTGTATGAAAAACACGAATTCCACAAAAATATCATACTTTTTGTGACTATCGTTGTCCATATGGCGGAATACCGTCATTAGTAAAGCGTCAAGGTGAAAAAAAGCGTAACAAAAACCGGAACTGAGAATAAAATAAACTGAAAAAGGGCAACAGAATGGCACGATTTAGGGATTTTTCAGACAAATGTTTTCGTTTTAGCTCATCATTTCCAGAAGCGCATTGCAAGCCCCGTTCTTGTCGCCGTGATGCTGCTCAAGGATGCTTCTAAAAGAAATGTTTGGTTGAAGAGCAGCTCGAGTTTAACCTGATGACTTCCTCATCGACCGTGGCGAACATCTCCTTGAGTTCTTTTATGTCTTCGTCTTTGATGACCACTAAAATATTGAGGGTTTTCATGTATTTTTTTCCGACAAAACAATCCCACGTTTCAAGATATTCTGGGCTTCTATCTACCTGGTTGGAACCGTGGCTGCGGTTCCTGAACGGCCGGATTTTGAAGCGGATGGAAGGAGAATGAAAGGTGGATCATGCCCTCTTGGCCCTCGCCCTGCTGCCCGGATAGCGGGAACCAATCTTCGATCGTTTCATTCGCAAAAATGCCGCAAGGCAGCATCACGTGAGCCCAGGCGACACATTCATCTTGGGAAAAGGCCTTCTGGAAGAGATCTTATTAGGTCTTTCGAAGAGACTTGATTGATTCCCACGGGAAATCAGAATTACCTCGTCAAAAATCTGCACGTAAATGCTTTCCACGTTGTTGGGCAGATAGGCGTGAACAACACGATTCCACACCGGTTGACGTCCTGAATTTGTTCGCTTTATTGCTGGATTTAGACTAGATTTCATAGAACTAGGGAACAAACAGGTATAATACCTACCTGCGCTGATTTTGGTCGGTGTTTCGAACGTCGAGTTTCCAACGCGTACTCTGCAGTATGGATCCATGCGAACCTACAAAGTCGTTCTTGACATTATCATCCCTTTAGTTTAGCCTTTAGAACATTTCTTATTTCTCCAAGACCTACCAGGCCATAATTTTTTACAAGATTCGCCTCCATGATCGTGACTTGAATGCGTCCGCGTGTATTTGGAGGCACGAATGAAAGCGGCTGCGGCTAAAACAATATTATTTATAAAATGGTTTGTTGTAGCTGAATCCACCTGAGCAAACTGGACCACTATCGGTCTTCCATCGACATCAGCAGAGGCTCCAGACGATGACGGCAGAGTGAGGCGCAGAAAGTCGTCAGGCAGCTCTCCGACGAACACCTGAAGCATTTGAAAGTAGGTATCGAATCATACCTTCTTCCTGCGTTCTGCCACCGATTCCCCTATCATTTCGTGGTGATTTCGCTAAGTTTAAGCTTGTTTATGATAGGAAGGCTATCGATCAGATGTTCTTGAGACAGCGAGAGCCCTCTTTGTCGCCGGCCGGATACGGTGGACGGGACGAGGCTTAGGCTTGGAGAATATTTTGAGTGGACGCCGGATGGGGATACGGTAGTCGAATAGAAATAAAGGTATATGAAATGAGCGATGATTGTAAAGCCTGAGTCAATAGGAAAGCTTCTAATTATTTGTAAGCCGCTCCGGTACTGGCTTGTTAGCGGGGGGGGAGTGAAATTTTAAGAGATGAAACTTATTGTTAGAAGAATTTGTGGAACTTTATGGCGTAATTATATCATGATTTTAGTAGTGCTTGATTACTAAAAATTCATAAAAATGTTAGAAAATTTGAAAAATTGGTCATTTTTGACCATTTTGTGAAACAATTCGATATTTAAAAAATGCGTAAATGTAAAGGGCGTGGATTTCATTGCTTTCAGTTTTTGCTTGAAAAAAATAATAGGAATAACAAACGGAAGTTTGTATTGTAAATATTTTTATTTATTACGGTTAGAAGCCAAAGGTTTAGTGCCGCCATGGCCCTTACTGCAACCAATATGCACTTGAGCTGGCTGGGCGACAGCTTCACTTCAAGCATGCCATCAGCGCCTCATCCAGAATGCCCACCTTGCTGATTTTAAGCGTTATTTTCATAATACCAACATATACCCGTGACTATAATAGGCTATTCGACGATCTTTTAAGAAGGTAGGCATTTTCAGGTTATTTTCAAGTTTTCGCTAAAAACTACAACTTTTTAGTTTTCGGGTTTCATTTTTCTAATATAAATAGAGGAAATGTTGAAAATGCGAATAATATTGATTTTTCGACAGAAACGCGCAGAACCTTTCAATTAAAAAATTGTTTCTGTGAATTTCAATGCAAAATACCTACGATTAAGTTTCCAGACAACTCTGGAAAAATTCTGCCCCCCCATCATGCAGCACCGTTTTATATATTAGCGGACAAAACTTTAGATACAACCGTCTGGTACGCCCTGTCAAAAATAACAACGAGACCATCCGGATCGAATTCAAGTTCAAGCTATCGCAAATTGTTGATGTGGTAACGTAAATTTTTGTAAAGATAATCATATGTTCAGTTTGAAAAGAATCAAGTCGCCACCACGCATGGCTGGCTTCGCCACGTAAGCGTCACTTTAAAGCCTTGTAATATTACTAACATGTCGAAATGACACGTGAATTTTTTAGAAATATAAACTTTGCTTAATTTTCATTTAGCGCTGGGTGGACGAGCGTTTGGCTTGGAATCCAAAAGATTACGGAGGGGTGTCAAGCTTCACCGTGCCTGGGGGCCTCGTCTGGTTGCCTGACATTATTTTGTATAATACGTAAGTCTCGTTTTTTCGAAGGGGGTTTTTAAAAAAAATTAGAGCTCACGGCTCACCGACGATCAGTTCGATCACCAAGGTGAAGCTCCATGCCAACGGGGAAGTGGTAAGATCATAACGTTTGTTTATCTATCTGCATCTTTATTTATTTTGATACCCTCCATTTATCGTTTTCAGTGGTGGGAACCGCCAGTCGTCTTCAACTCGATGTGCAAGATTGACGTCCAATGGTTAATTGAATTTTCTAGACCAATCCTTTTTAGGTTTCCCTACGACGAGCAACAATGTGACTTGAAATTCGGTTCGTGGACTTACTCTGGAGCATTGCTGGATCTGCGCCACGTGGGATTTCATAAAGAGAAGCTATTATTATATCGACTTAAGTTAAGTAGCGACAAGGTGATCGTAGAAGAGGAAGACGGGGTGAAGCAGACAAGTGTTCAACTGGGAGTGGATCTATCCGAATATCAGGCATAGAAAATTTATGAAAAAAGGTTTTTTTTCTTTTTCGGAATCGGTTGAATGGGATTTGTTATCGGCGCATTCGACGCGTCATGAGAGATGGTATTCTTGTTGTAATTACACGTAGGTGGTTAGATTGGCATAAAATTTTAGGCTTTAGCTCGATCGATATCACCTACTACATCCAAATTCGCCGCAAAAAGCTCTTTTACACGATCAACCTGATCTTCCCTTGCATTAGCATTGCTGCACTAACTTCATGGGTGAGAAAAAGAAGGTCAAGCTAAGAAAAGCTTCCAGGTATTTTACCTCCCATGCGAAAGCCGGCAAAAGATTCAGCTGTGCATCAACGTCTTGGTCGCGTTGATCATCTTCTTTCTAGTATTGGTGAGACAAATTGGCTCCATTTTCAAGAGATCACGTTCTTAGATTGAATTGATCCCACCAATGAGCGTCGCGATTCCCTTTATCGGCAAATATCTTGTGTTTACGATGACGATGGTGACGCTATCTGTTGGGGCCACAGTTTTTGTAAGTAAAAATTGGGTACTGGGCTGTTAGTGTGGGGGGGGGGGGGGATAAGTTTGGCCTATCGCTCCGCAGGGCCCAGTAATGAAGTAAAAACTAATTATATACATTCTTTTACGATGTTCCTAAATGTGGAAGAGCCATAGATCTTATTAAACTCTCTAAATCTCAGAAAATTTGGATTTTTCGTCCAAACTGTTTGAAAACAGCCTAAAATATCGTATTTTCGATTTTTGAATATTTTTATACGCCTTGTTAATAAAAGCCGCTAAAAAGACTATAAAAAGGCACTAAAAGCGCTAAGAATCTTGCTGGCGAGGTATTTGACTAGATACATAGCACCTCCCCCCCGCTAACAGACCAGCACCAAAAGTTGGACCCGAAGATTGTACCACCTTTCTTTTAGGTAGAAAATGTCCACTGGCGCGGTGGCGAAAGCCCAGTGCCAGGCTGGGTCCGCAGCATTTTCATCGAACGACTCGGCACCCGGCTTCTCATATCTCGACGAACCGCACAAAGCCCGCTTTACAGAAAAATCCAACAGCAAAAGGTACCCCAACTAACCAAGAAGAAGCCCTGGATTTCTTTAAGAAAATTGATACGATAAACGCGCTGCACATCCTGGAACGGCAATTCAACAAAACGCTGTTCGACATAGAGATGAAAACTCAGGTAGGGTAAAAAAAAAGGAAGGAAAGGGAATTTGAATTTTGTTAAAGGAGCAAGTTGTAAAAAGCCCTCAAGGCCACGCGGCTATATTCCTGCAGTTACCGATGGTGGGACGCAGTCTTTCGGTACGAACCACCAAAAAGGACACCAATGATAAGTTTTTCACGGAAGAAACGTGCAGATATTAATTGCATTTTTTAAGTTTTCGCCACGTGCGCCGGCTCTACAGCATTACAAAGCAGAAATTGTCCGAAGAAGACGCCGGTAAAATAAACATTGTAACAATGTCATTTTCGCAGCTTCTGAACGCAGAAGATCTACCCAATTTTGCAATCGCCGTGAGGTGTTGAGGAGAGCCGAACGGAACGTCAATTACATCGCACAGAATTTGACCGAAATGAGGAAGGCCGATGAGGTGGGTGTAATCTTTATCGAGTCGATCGATTAATAGAACTTTATTGATAATTTTTGGAGAGCTCGAGAAGCTCTCTATTTTCAATTATGCGTACCTTGGCAGCAGCTGGTTGTATCGAGGCGGCGACCAGGCCCTAAATTGAATAATATTCTACTGGTTTTAAGTTAAGTTACCTTAGCCACCTGCCCAACGTCGATCGCTATATTATTAGTGAAGAGTTTAAACGGCTTTATAAAGACCTAAAATTGTTTTTATTAAAAAGTCAAAACCGCCCACCTTTGTGATGCTTTCTGTTAAACGAAAATCGCCACTCCTTCCCTCGAGAACGCCCGGGTGCGCGATGATCAAATTATCAAAATCCAGCGCTTTCACATCGCGTTCCATTTCGCCCTAGAGAGAAATGAACATTTAAGGATTTAGCACGTTCCTACCTTTGTTTTAAGATACGGAAACCACGAATTTTCACTGGCTCCTCCGGAAGAAACCAGGCAAAATGAAGACGTTCCAGTTTTTCGTGCTAGTTTTGCACTATTGACGACGTAATCGTGGTCGACACGGTACTGTCCTTTCTAAAGAGACATATACCTAGGGATTCTAAAGAATTTCACAAACCGCTCCAGACGCCCCTCTCGTAGTCCCCAGGGCGCAGAATCCTACATCAAAGCCTTCAAAATCGCTGCGATGATCCTCCAGATTTTCGAAATCAATCACGCGTTGTTCCTAAAAATAGGGTACTGGACTGTTAGTGGGGGGTTGGGAGGCTCTCTAATCTATACCTGCCTATTTTCTACGATTTTATAGTGTGTTTTTATATGGGTTTTAGCAGAATTTGATACTGAAAATGTGTGTAGAAAGATTGCCACCTACTATTTTTGAATTTGGATCGTTAACATCGATTGTTCTTCTTCCTAGCAGGACCACTTTCGAAAAGTTGTTGTCTCGAGATAAAACCTAGGATTTAATGAGATAGAGGTAAATTGGTGGACGCTACCTCGACAATCTTTTGCCCAACAGCGCCAGTTCCGCCCAATACGAAAGCCGACTTTCCCGGACAGGACATCCCAAGCCTCTAAAATTCTATTTCAGGCCGAGTCCGACTGGCATTTCGTTTCGCTGGTCATCGACAGACTATTGCTCGTGCTTTTCGCTTCGGTGATTTCCGCTGGCACACTTTTTGCCTTTTTCAGGTGGGTAAGATATACTCGAATCTTTTCTGTAGTACAATGACAATATTTTTAATTGAAGCGCCCCGATACTGATGGACTATCGGCAACCGCTGTCTAGAGAGCTCTACCTCGAATTGCAAAACTTGAAACCGGAATACGACCTTGTAAATAATAACTGATAGTTTACCGTTAAACCTGAATGATTTGTTTGGAATCAAATAAAAATTTATTCAACCTTACAAATTTTATTAATTCTTTTGTTGCGCCGCTTCTTTGTACTCCTTCGCGATGTCGATCAGCTCCTTGTTGTCGATCAGCCGGACGGGATCTGCCGAGGGGTTAGAGGCTGCCGAAACAAGAGCCTAAAAAATATAGATGAAAGACGCTGAAAATCAACCCTCGCCACATCAATCGTGTCAATGGCAATGCTGCTTGTAAGGAGCTTGAAGGGCTTGACGAAAATCTAGGGAAATAGACGTAATATAGCAAAATTACTTTCAACCTTAGCTACGGCTTCTCCGAGGCGAAATTCGTCACGCGGACCTTCTAGGAAAGCTGGCCGAGCGATGACCAGATGCTCGAAGCCAATCGTTTTCAGGTCTCTTTCGGTTTCTCCCTATGGTGGGAATCAAATCGTTGAAATTGAAAAACAACTTCTACCTTTGTCTTTGGATAAAAAAACATCGAATTCTCGTTAGCACCGGATGAAGAGACGAGGCAGAACGTCTTGGTCCCATTGTCCTTGGCCAACTTTGCGCTGTCGACGACGTAATCGTGGTCCACACGATATTGTCCTTTCTAATTTTTGTTATTGATACCTGGATGTCTGACTTACGACCCCGGATTTGCCTCTCGTCGTGCCCAAAGCACAGAAGCCGACGTCAAACCCCTCGAAGTCACTTCGGTGATCTTCGAGCTTCTCAAAGTCGATCACTCGCTGTTCCTAGAAAATGTTTTTTTTTGTCAATTTCTTTACGATTACGATTTTTGCGGGTGCATCTGGTTGGTCAACAATTCGCCGACCGAGTAGAACAACCCGGGAATACCTTGGGTCTGCGGCCAATACCTAAACAGCTCAATTCAGATATGTTAATAAAGACTTACTTCGACAAATTTTCGGCCCACCGCACCGGTCGCTCCCAGCACAAACGCTGCTTTGCCTTCGGCCATCTGAAAAATTTGGTTTACGGAGAAGTAGTCGTGTTATATATTTCAAAAGCGAAAACAACGGAATGAGTGTGTTTCCCTGACCCGGTGAAGATAACGAAAAAAGCTGACGCCGGCTACAAGGCTACAACTGGAAATGCTGTCCAAAATTCAGTGACAATTTACATTCGGTTGCCAAATTTCATCCGCAATTAGCTAGGTAGAAATGAGGGATATTTGTCATATCGCATTGGCGCCTATACAAGTGGATGGCGACCCGAGTCTCGCCCTCGGTTGAGACGCTTTTGCCCAGGTAAGCAAATTTCCCCAAGGAAATCCCCTCAATATTCATTCAGCCTTCGCTTTGGCCTGGGTGCCGACCTCAGCGAGCCGCCGATCTTTTCCACAAACCATTCTGTCGTCTTCCGCACCTATTCGCAGCGGTATTTCCCGGTCTTCAAAAGAAAAAAAAACCCTGAAATAGCTATCGAGGTTTGGTGGCGGTGAAGGTGATCAACCGGAAGGCGCTTCCCGCACACATTGCCGACAAGTTTTTGCCGCGCGAGCTAGAAGTCACCAACAAGGTTGAATTACCTGTACAGATTCAAAATACAGAATAATAGGTCCGCCATCCGCATCTGCTCAAATGCCTCCACATCGAATCGCCATCGCCGACAAAAATCGTATTATTTTCCCGACCGGGTTCGCAAAATGTTGCTAAGATAATCGTCTCGGAATTCTGCACCCGCGGCACCCTCCTTCAGCATATCCTCAAAGAAGGCGCTATCCGAGGTGAGTTCTTCAATGTATTTTCCTACCTCACCGTATAGAGGCCCCGATGGGTGCACGGCTTTTCCGCCAATTGATCGAAGCCGTCAACTATCTGCACAGGCACGAAATTGTTCACCGGTTGGCGATTTGCGGAAGTTATTCCCCGTTTTTTTTTGCAGCGACATCAAGCTCGAGAACATACTGATCGACGGCAACGGCGACCTCCACTTGGCAGACTTTGGCTTTGCGCGTTTTCTGGAAAAGCGCCGGCGGTAGTCGTTAAACTGCAATGCAATGCCATGTTTAGCGCGACTTCCTTCTGTGGCACCCGGCCCTACTCGTCGCCTCAGATCGTCACCTACCAACCGTACGATGGGTATGCTGCTGATTGGTAAGCCAAATCCGCTTCTCAACGGTTAGTACATTTCCGGTATTCGGTGGGTATCGTGTTGTACACGATGGTGGTCGGAAAATGGCCACGGGAGCCGTCGGGGCCTATCAACTCGCCTCTCACATTCCCACCCAACGTTCCGAGTCCTGCTTGTCGTCGTCTCATCGCACAACTATTGGGTAGAGGATTAGAACATCTGGAAATAAGCACGGAGTGCTGATGCGACCTAAAAATCACTGTTTTAGATGATGATGAGGAACGCCGGGCTGGCTATGAGGACTGCCTTTGGTCGGGTGAGGAAATTACACCATGGTCAAACCTCATTCCAGAATGGCTCGCCGTCAGCCCCGTGTGGATTTTCGCCGACCAAAACTTCGTCTACTCCGTCCTGCATCAGAACTAGCCCGAGCCCCATTACCATTTACATATTCGACACAGCCATTAAGAAAGCACGGGTTTTAGGAAATTGGTCAAAAATGTTTGTCAACATTATACAAGGGAATACTTGCGATTAATAAAGTTATTCGATCAATGAATTTATTACACACAAGATACATCATACACGCACTCGCCTCTCAAGCTAAACAACTAGTAATAAAGATCGTTAAATTTTAAGGCGCCATGGGCAAAAAACATTCCACTAGTGGCGTGGAAAGACTAGCCATGGGAAAGGCATTATTGTACAAACCGTTCCTAATCAAATGGGCCAGGCCCACTGGCCAGTAGGTGCTTTTTCGATAAGTGGCTCCCAGGCCTTGGACTCGATGATGGCGCGCGTTGCTTCTAGCTCGTATTCGGCCTGCTGCAGAACTTCTTCGATTTGTCCCATTCCAATCTTCTGCTCCAACTTCAGCACATCCAGTTCCGTTTGCACCAGGTTCAAGCGGTGTCGGATGACCTGCAAAGCGATTTTTGCAAGGCATCTCGCTTGAGGAAACGTGGATAAACTGATGGTGCCGAACTTCTATTTAGTTAAATTATTATAGTTACCTGTTCCGTGTATTTTCGGTAGGCCGAATCCTTCGGCACCTTCTCAAGAGCACGCAAAATACGGCCATAAACCACGGAGAGGGCACGATGTGGGTGTTCTTCGACGAAGAGGCCAGTCAGACCAGTGCTCTAAAAAATTACTTTCGTAAAGCGACACCTCATTATCAAAAACGAAGAATGAAAATCATACCTGTTTGAAATAATCTGGGGAAACCTTGTTTTTGGCCTTGAATCGTTTGACGTAGGGATTCTCGTACATGCTTCGAGAAGAGGTGAGCCAGGCGGCTCTTGACACCAACCTTGAGGCCATCCTGAATTTAGTTATTTTGTAAAAATAAAAAAGTAGGAAGCAAGAAGGCAAGAAAATTTGAAGAAGGTTTTACAAAGTATGATTTTCGCTTCGCCCGGCGCCGATCGCTACTAAAAAGTCCTATCGACACGTTTCCCCACGATTTAGCCGCCAGCTGCGATGAAATCCATTGCGTAACCGTTTAGAAAATTTTATTTGTTGTGCAATTTTGCGATTTTCTCTGGCTATAAAGAACTTTTATTTAGTTTTGAGGCAACTATCTTCATGCGACATGGAATCGTTAACCGCTCAATTGGAAACGGCCTTCGACTCAGTAGGGATTAAAGCATTCTGACAAAGTATTTTCATTCAGAAACCGGCAAACGAGATCCGAAATGTTTGTCTCATCGCCCACGTTGACCATGGGAAAACGACATTTGCTGACTCGCTAGTAACGACAAATTCCATCATTTCAAGTATGTTTACCAAATTTTGGTTTAGTTTTCTATTAGCTCGGCTGGCGGGGAAACTACGGTATATGGATAGTCGACCAGATGAACAGGAACGAGGGATCACTATGAAAGTAATAAAAACCTTATTGTTAGATTGTTTTTAGGCTTCCGGAGTGTCATTATTGTATGGCCCTCTTCTGGTAAATCTAATTGATTCGCCCGGTCATGTCGACTTTTCGTCGGAAGTGTCTTCGGCATTGTTGTTATCGGATATTGCGCTACTTTTAGTGGATGTGGTTGGTAGAACTTTCTAATCAATGTAAAACATCCTTTAGGTGGAAGGCGTCTGCTCGCAAACGCACAGTCTCATGAGACAAGCCATCCAAAATGGTCAATCTATTATCTTGGTGCTAAACAAAATGGATAGATTAAAGGTTGGACTCATCGCTTAGATAATTGGAAAATTTTTGTAGATCGATTTGAAAATGGAACCGGCGGAGGCTTACCAGCATATTGTTCGCCTGTTGGAGGCTGTCAATTCATCGCTCAGCCAATTTGTTTCCTACCTGGCATTAGAAGAAGATACGTGGGATGATCTTGAGGCACTCGAGCAGAAAGTTCATTTCGACCCACAAAGGGTATATTCGTTGAACCTTGCGAATCAAATTTTTAGGGAAATGTTCTGTTCGCCTCCGCCATCTATGGTTATGCTTTTGGCGTCGACGAATTTGCCGACATCTGGGCTCCAAAATTGAAGGTTTTCTTGTGGCAATAGTTTGTAGCCGGTTTAGTTGGATAAAGTCGAGTTGGCGAAGCATTTATTTGGCGATTTTTGGATTGGAGGTGGGAAGATACAGGTATTTTGTTGCTGCTTTGCTGTAAAAATTTGGGTTTAGACGGATGCCGCGCATCGAGGCAAGAAGACGCTCTTCGAACAGTTGGTGCTCGAGCCGCTGTGGTCATTGCATGATTGCGCTCTGATTCAAGGGGATCTGGATAAGATGATTACACTTGCTGGCAAGTTAGGTTCGTCTTAGCATACCGGGAGTTGTTGAGGTCATGATTTTAGGATTGACCGTAAAAACAAAACGCCTTCCGGATGCGTTTAACGAATTGATGCGCACCTGGCTGCCACTTCCATCAGCATGCTTCCGGTTTTGGATTTGGGATTGCCTTATTCTCGATTTTTAGAGCATGTGCTCGCGGAACGTCTGCATTGAATGCTTTCAAAGATCCACATCGAATTGATGCATTGAGCGGTACGTAGTTACTTTATGAATCTATCGATTGAGCGAATTGTGGCCTTATTTATTCCATTCCTCAGCTTGTAAAGATTCGGCATTTTTAGCCCCTGCCCATCCACTCCATAATGCCATCCGTGATTGCCAAGCATCTGGACCTACCATTGCTTTCGCCGCCAAATTTATTCGCCAAGAAAACCAATCCTATACGATTTTGAGGGTGCTCAGCGGAAAAATTTCTAAGGTAAGATTTTCCAATTTTCGTTCGACTATTGATTCGTTTAGGGCGATGAGCTCTTCGTATCTACACGAAAAATGCGGGCAACGGGTGATGAAGCTCTCCAAACTACCGTAGCGCTCTATGTTTGATCTGATACATTTTTTGTAGATTGAGGAGGTCTACTTTCTGCGCGGTCGTGAGATGGTTCGGACGAAGACCGCTGTAGCTGGCACGATTTGTGCCGTTCGGGCGTCAAGTATGAAACTATACATAATCGACTTTTTTTATTTATTGATTTAGATTTGGTTCAAAACGTGACGTTGAGCTCGATTGCTGTGGATGAAGGGCTGCGAATCGGATTCGAAATGGGAGAACCGCTTGTTAGGGTGGGATTCAATTATTTTTTTGAAAATCATGGAGCCACCTAAAATTGTAGGTGAGCATCACCTCGAAGGAGCTCGAACAGATCAACGAGTTGAAAGAAGCGCTACGAACTCTGGTGCTGCTCGATCCGTCGCTAAGGTATGAACGTCTAGGTTTTAGACAACAACGTTTCTCAGGGTCCTTGAGCAAGAGAATGGAGAATTGGCGATGATCACCGCCGGGGAGATGCACTTGCAAAAATGCCTGAAAGATTTGGAGGATATGGGTAAGTGAAATAGATATTTTCTAGACTTTTGTAATGATCAGGTTTCATTGGTTTGGAGGTTTCGGAGCCGATCGTCCCCTTCCAAGAAACTGTCATCCCCGACCCGACGTTGACAGCCACGGAAATCGCGAGTCAAGTTGCGGTAGGAACACTTTAGCTATCCAAAAAAACTCCTATTTTTAGGAATGCCGTCTGCGTGATGAAGCACTATACCTCAAAATTCGTGTGGCACCTCTATCGGCAGAACTTTTGGCCATGCTCGAGCGGTCGGTCGAGACTTTGCGAAAAATCCGGAAGGGTGCATCCGATGAGGCGGCATTATTGACATTCAAGGTACGAACCGATAGCTTCCGTTAATTACTATTTCTTAAGAATAAGCTGATCTCGACGGCTTGCGAGACACTTCCTGCGATGCGAGGAACATGGTGGCACAAAAAGAGCCAGGAAGAAATAACCTCTCTATTCGAACGTATCTGGTGCTTTGGACCGGAAAAGGCCCGCTCCAACATTATGTTCAACAACATACCTGGCTATGAGAACCGAACTCTTTGGAACCGTGGGTTATTTTTGAGGGACTATAAAATTGATGCTTTTTAGGCGATGAGTTCCTGCGTCCGCTTGATAACAGCATTTGCACGGGATGGGAACTATTCTGTGGGGCTGGCCCGCTTGCCAACGAGCCAATGCGAGGAGTGGCAGTGATCATCGAAGAATGGCGGATTGATGAATCGGTATTTACAGTTTCCTTTCATTGATGTTTAAATCACTTTTTTAAAAATTAAAAAATACAAAATATCGATTTTCGAACAAAAATAGCAATTTTCCTCGAAAATTTCGACTAAAAATATTTTTGATTGTTTTTCTACTGGAAATATGGTTAAATTTAGGCCAAAATTTATTAGAATATTTAGTATGAAGTTTTTAAACATTTCTAGAATTATAGGATTGCAATTCGTTACGTATGGCGCGACTCTTAGATTTTGATGATCAATTTCAGGACTCGGCAGCTGTCGGCCAACTCGTCACAGCCGTCAAGCAGAGCTGCAAAGCCTCAGCCCAGAAGAATTCATTGAGGTCGGTTTGGTATTTTGAATTTAGCACATTTTTTCCAGACTTGTCGCTGCCATGTATAAATGCGTGGTGACGACGACGAGCAGCGCCCTCGGCAAGGTACACATGGTGTTGTCCCAACGCAGGGCTAAGGTTTGTCTCTAGCCCGAAAAAATATGTTTCTTATTCTAGACATTATCCGAAGATATCAATGAAGCTACGGGGCTCTTCGAGGTCAACGCCGTTTTGCCAGTCGTCGAAAGTTTCGATTTTTGCGAGCAATTGAGGTATTTTGACTTTGCATTTACATCCACATGTCTTGTTTAGGACGAAAACGAGCGGCATGGCCAGTGGTCAACTAGAATTCTCCCATTGGCAAACTGTCGAAGAGGTAATTTCCTTTTTCTAAGGTTTTACCCAATCTTCAGGATCCTTACTGGGTGCCAACGACACAAGACGAAATCGAGGAGTTTGGCGTGAAAGGAGATTCGATTAATCATGCAAAATTGTCGGTTTTCCGGATTTTTTCAATCATGATTTTCAGATATATGGACACCATTCGACGGCGCAAGGGTCTCCCCACCGACGACCTGATCGTCGTCTCTGCGGAGAAACAGCGAAATCTAAAGAAAAACAAATAATTTGCTTGTTATGGTTGTTATGGGTTGTTGATAGTTCTGTTAAATTTGCCATTGTTGAATTTTTTGAGGCTTTGAGATATTTAAGATTTAATAAAAAACAGCATTTAATTTGGTATTTTTGGACGGTGTTATAAAAGAGGGGATCAGCTAGACGCTTTCGTAAACAAACAATTTTCACGTCCCGGGATGGGGGCAGAGATATACCTTTTGGCCAGCTTTTGCTTCTTATATGGGTTGACTTCAGCGGCACAGGCTCCTCTGGACGTTTGCGGGAATCCACCGCTAATGTTTATACGTCAGAATTTGTAGCTGCGCGGTAAGGGTCAAGGAACTCGGTTCTAGACGTTAGCGGGAGGGGGCAAGACAACCTTGCCGGCAACTTTTTTTTGCGTTTTAGTGTTGTTTTTAATGGTTTTTGATTACTAAAAATGATGATAAACAATTATCGCAAGTAGAAACTCGCTGGGCTGTGATAAGATGGGTGGAATAAAAGTGAACAAAAAAGCACAATTTATTGCCGTCCGGAGGTGTTGGTTAGACGTCTATAGTAGCTTCAACGGAGTCATCTGGAATTTAGAGATTTTCTTTAATTGCTATTTCCTTTGCATTCCGAAGAACAAACCCTCATCTGGGTCGAGCTTCACCAACAACTCCTCATCATCCTTCTCATTTTTCTACAAAACCAAATTTTAATTAGAATATTCCGGACCCACCGTACCCAGCACACCCATAAAGTACGCGCGCTCGCATTCTAAACGTTGCCCCGCATCAGCGGCGCTATCACATTTTCCTAAAGTACAATATTTTGCGGTAATTGTTAATTATCTAACCTGGGGGAAGCTTTCCGAGTCCTTCAATGGATAGGGGGCCGCTTGTCGTTATTAGCGTTTTCGGCTCCTAATTTTTTTATACGCATTCTTTTTTTACTATACTTTTATACATTTTATACGCATAGTCTCGTTGTTTCCAACCTTTTTTGGCTTCTCCGGTAACGCCGGGATCGGTTTCAGCTCCCCGGGATCCGATTTCTTGATCTCCGGCTTGTCAAAAAGGGCTCGTTCGATGTGGGCCGGGCCGAGTTTAGCCTAAATTTGGATACATTAGCTTATCTTGAGAACTTACGATATCATCGAGAATCTCGACCGGTTTCGCTGACACTCCAGACACGATAAAAAGTAGGAAGAAAAGCATGGGCACGGCCCGGCCTTTCGGGATTGACTCCGAGACGTATTGACGGAACTTTGGATCGTCTACATTCCAATACCGCTATAAAAGCCCGATTTCGTGGGAATTTATACCGTAACCTGCAGGGCTATTACCAGGGGCGCACGACTGTCGTTGGTAAAGGAGATAAATGGCCTTTCAGCATCCATGAAATCTCGGGTGGTTGATCGCGTTTAGCAATAGATTTTTCCTTGCAATTAATCCTTGCTTTTTGCAGAGAATTTCATGCGATATTTTTTAGCATGTAGTTGTTATTAATACTATAATACGCATTAATACGAATTGCACGATGCAATTAACGTATTTGAAGGTTTATAGTCGAACTTAAACTGCGCGAAAATTGCGATTTTTGCTTAGAAAGAACGTATTAATTGAAAAAAGTACTTTGCCAATATTTATTTACGAAAAACAGAGAAAAGAGGCGCAACATTTAGCCGGCATTCTTTATGGCGGCTGCAGCGGCTGCCAGGTCTTGCTGCCAAGAAGTGACGCCCGCTTCACAGCTTCCCTGACAATGGCCACAGGTCCCACGGCAATTCGTGATATATTCCTTCTAAAAGAAGCTTTTATATCGTATTCTGGGATGACTTAAAAGTTTTTTTTTGACTGACCACATTGCAGGCACCCCGTTGGGATAAGGCGTAGCAATTGCGCAGGCGATCCGAGCAATCTGAAAATAGGATCGTTGATTTAAGACTATCGAGTCGATGATACTCACCCGATGTTGGCCAATAATATTTGGGAACGCATACAGTACACGAGGCCGGGCATAGCAGCCGTACGGCCGGATTGTCACGACATAGCTGTGGGGAGGCTCGAGATTGGCAGCAAGGATGTCTGTCCAGACAACGTTCTTCCACTACCTAAATATCTCTCTCTCTCTCTCTCTCTCTCTCATCTGTCGAAACGCTACATTCCTATAAACAGCAATTGTACTCACTGCATTATTTTGTGCCGGATATTCCACGGGTTTCCCACCGGTTGGTGAGGTTAAATCCTAAAATTAGGTCTAATAAAATCTTACCTAGACTAATAATTTTAATTAAACTAAATAAATACCTTTTCGACGCATCTACCCCCTACGCAAACGCCACGGTAGCACACGTCCATCGGCGCCGATTGCTCGAAGCCGGCGCACTAATAAACGGGTTTAGGCTAAATGGAACGAACGTACACTTCCGCCGACACGGACTTTTGAGACGCATTGCGGAGCGTTGGGATCGCGGGTATCGCAGAAAAGGAATCTGAAAGATGACTAAATGAAGTAGAACACAAACCTGCTCCCCTCACAATCGGCCGTCTCCTTGGTGCACCGAGGGGCGGGCCAGTAATGATACAAATTCCGCGTGTACGCGTTTGAAAGCCCGTCAATGTTCCTGACAATCAATTGTGTGTTTCAGCAATTGTGCTAATCGAAGGTACACCGTATTTAACGCCTTTTCACGCTGCTAAATAACGATCAAAACATACCGTAACCGGAATGGGTACATCAAAGTCGTTGCCCGATTCGCGATGTTGATACAAGCGTCGTTGGGATATTCAGAATCGCGTTGTTGTTCTGTCTAACGTAGGAATGTGCTGGTGTATTAGCGGGGGGAGCGTAGCGCTTTAAATTTTTGGTAATCGGAAATTAGTTTAACACTAAATAGTTTGTTTTATTATATTGAAGGTTTGGCCAAATGGAGGAATTTGGATCTCCTCCCCCGCTAATGCACCAGAACTGGGACGATTTGAGGACTTATATAAAAGAGTATCTCTACTTGATGCAACATCCGCCATCCTTCCCAGATGAAATCGATGAAAGCGTGGTGGAGCAGAAAGGTCGGATCGCGGGATGACCATTGCACGAAGCGCATGTCACCTAAAAACTGGGCATTTTACAGGTTTAGCAAAAGCGAAGGTAGAAGCCAAATCTAAAACGCGAACCGCCAACAAAATTGTGAACGTGGTTATGCTGGATGTCGAGCCAGTTGTAGTTGATATCACCGCAGCCCTTCGTGGAGATCTTCTTCGATTGTGCCAGAACGTCATCTACCGTCGAAAATGATAGAGCGCTCTAAATTGAGTGTCAAGCTGCAACTGAAGCTTTAAAGCTAAAATTTAAAGCTCAAAAACTTGCCCGAACGCCTGCAATCGTCAGTGGATGAGAATTGGGGAAGACGCCGACTTCACGAATGACGCCAGACTTCTTCTAAAGGGAAGAAATTCAAGCAGTTCAACATATTTTGATACCTCCTCATTTTGCCACCCTTCAAACGCGCCCGTCGTGATCGGGCCAAACGTGTTTCCGAGCAGTTCAGGGCTAAAAATGCCGTATAAATTGATTAAATTCACTCAATTGATTTTTCCAAAAAGATGGAAAATTGCTAGTATTATCATGATCCAGAAGTACCTCCACATGACCGAGTCGGCCGGCACTGGCAGCTTGGCATCGACGGTTGAATCCCAAAACGGGATCGAGATGTCGGCATCAATCCGGCGCAGTTCTAACTCCAGCCGAAAAGCGTTGTGGTACTGGGCTGTTAGCAGGGGGGGGCTAATATACTAATATCACCCCGCAAGTAATAATAATGTAATACCCCAAAAATGGAATACATACCATTTATGTAATTATTACCGTTTTTAAGCCTCGAAACTCGATAAATGTTCAAGCTTTCGAAAATCCTTAATTTTTAGAAATTTAAAATGTTCCAAAATTGTTTTATGATTTTTTATAATCAAAAAACACGAAAAAGCCATAAAAATACACTATAAAACACTGAAAAGTTTTCTAGCCAGCTGCTGATGTAGAAACCTACCGCTTCAAATGTTCACGATGCCACGGCAAGAAATTCGAGCCCTGATGCGCCGTCCCGCGCGTTGACATTTGCTGGTGGATGTCGGCTAGAAAAAGAATACATATTCTCCAATTTTGAAATCATTTAAACTTACACCATCTATCGTAAACTCCATTCTTTTTGAGCAAGTTCAACGCGTCGAAGAAGCGTTTCCGCTCGGCGTCGCTCATCACGCGAAATTCCTTGCGTGGCACGTTCCCAAATCGCTTTTTATTGTAAAGGAATGGAGCATTAGTGATTTTTCCTCAAAAATAATATATTTTAGAAGAGGAAAAATACCTAATAGATACTTGGAAATGCATGGATAATCGATGCAATCGGCCAGAACCATTGGTTGAAAGCTTGAAGCCGATAGTCGGCCCTTCACCTTCAGGTGTTGCGTCTCGTTTTTCACAGTTTCGTCGCCCAACTAAAAACTTATTTTATAAAAACAGAAAAACATAAATAAAATTCTTCAGGCTGACCCGTGAATTTTTGCCCATATGGAAGGCCTTTTCACATTCGAGTCGTTCGCTGGGATCGCTGGCGTTTACGCATACGCCTGAAAAGAGGCTTCCTTTTCTTTAGTAAGTGATTTCCGGGTCATCCAATTCTTCTAATACAGAGGAAACTGCTGCCAAATTGACTTTTAGAATACTCCTAAGCGCAACAAAATATAAAAAAAATCGGATAATATCTATTTCTACCACAGATTTCATGTTTTTTAACAGTTTCAAAGGTTTTCTAATGAGCTTTTCCACCTAAAATATGCCTACATCTTTTTTCCAAGCGGACTTCTTTCCTTTTTAGAGGTAAATCTCTATAAGAAAACGTCTTGAACGATCAAAAAAACTACTTTTGTACCAAAATGTCGGATTTTTAACGTTTTCTAGTTTTTCCACCTCAAAGGTAGTTAAATTTTACTAAAAAGCTATTCAAATACTTGCTAAGAGAATACAAAATAAAATACTATAGGGATAATTCGAAACCCCCCCCGAAAATGGAAAAGAGCTATGATTCCTGCTAGGAGAAGCTTACCATGAGGGACAGCGCTCTCCATCGACATTGAAGTCGGGAAAACATTGTTTACGTCACCAACTGAAATTTAACCAATTTCCAGAGATATGCCGCGTTAGAGACACCATCTTCCAAAAGCCCTCCAAGTTCCGGCAGATTAGGCAATGCCCCCGTCAAATTGTGCTCCTCAGCCACCGTAACCCGTGCAAAGAGTGAGATAAGGAAAAGCCATCGAGTCGATAGGCCCATTCCGAATATAGTGGCCCACTTTGATGCCCCACCCTCGCCCCCATTTCCATCTCCACAAACTGTGGGAATCGTCATTTAGTGCCCGCCTATGGCACAGACGCACACAAATAAAAAATAAGACGCCGATCGTTTATGCCATAAACTTCACAGAACTGCAAAAAAATGTGATAAACTTAAACAATGCAATCAGTCAAGCAAGGGAGTGGGAGCAAAAGAAGAGATCACAAAAGGTAATGAGGTAACGTAGTAGATTTAGATTTAAAGCATATCACTAGTAATTAAAAGCAGATTCTATGTTACACCAAATTTCCAAATTCCACTCATTCCTTTGTATTTCGCAGGAATTTTTTAATATTGCCGACCGGTGCTTTTGTTTTTTTGGCAGCCTGGCTTTGTGTGTTGCGCTCTGGCTGCTTCCGTTTCGTGGCTTTTGTGGATGCCTAAAAACATTAAATCAATCAACCAATTCCATCTAGGTATATGCTTTATATCCCCCCCCCTAACAGTCCAGTACCGGTCACTGAGGAATGACAGGTAACTCTTACCACTGGTTTCGCAGTTAACGAAGTCCCAGGCTTCAACGACCCAATTAAATCAGCGTTGAGACACTCGTCCAAGTGTGAATTCACCTCGCGCTCATCATCCACCGGTAATATCTTGTTGCATAGCGGGCATCGGGCAACCGGCTAGATTTACGAATTCCTAAGCACAAGGGCGGATTTTCTACCTTCTCATCTCCATCTGAACTGAAGAGATCTTCCGAATCACTCGCATGTCGCTGCTTCTTGCTTGTCTCGGGCTCAGTCTTAAAAATCATATAAAACATCGGGCTACACTTTACTTTACCCCCCCGCCAGCCGGAATGCTTTGGCCATAACTTTTTTATTTTAGATTATTGTAGGCTCAAATTAAAACTCTTAGTACATTTTTCGACGCTCTATCGAATGGCGTTGCAAAAATTCCGACAAAATAAGCGAAAATACCGAAAACTTTCAGACCCTTCGGCTGTGGGGGGGGGGTAAAGTAAGGTCTTGCCAAACATCGCAGTGGTTGAATCAAATGGCTCTTGCGTAATATCGGGGGGGCGACTTTTTCTCAGGACCGAATTTTGCAAATCTCTATAGCGGAGCAAAAAAATACAAATTTGCAATAAAAATACCAAAAATACAGATAGATAAAATACCTGATTTTTTGCCGTCAAATATTGATCTATGCGGGTTTTCTTCGGCGTGTCATCATCGAGAAATTCAAGTTTCGATAATCTGACCTCAAAACAGGTAGAAGCTAAAAAAAGGCAAAGAACAAACCCCAAGCAATCGAATCTCCGGGCCAAGCTCTTTTTTCAAAATCTTCTCTGCCGTAATAAAAATATCATCAGCTGAAAAATCGTCAAAAATCTAGTCAATTAAAAATGGTATTTACCTGAATTTGTCAATTTATCGACCGTATGCGCCCTCGTCATTACATCGAAAGTCGCCAATTTAATCTGGAATTTAGGATTATTCAAGTAATTGGGAAAAACAAGTACCTTCACAGCAACATTAAAGCCTCCCCGAATCTGGGCCCTCTCCAGCTGGCTAGCCAAGTCGTCGCTGAGCTCGCGCAGCTTCTCCAATAGTTTTGCCTTGTCGTCAGTTGGATGGAAAGTCGACTCCACGGAAATTGACTGCAAAAAAAGTACCTAATTTATAAATACAAAAGCACCTTTCTCCGATCATCAGATGGCCCCGATGAAGCTCTTTGTAGGCCCATGGAGACACGTAGGAAGCCCTCTACGGAATGAGGGGAGAAAATAGCTGGCAATATCGCCCGCCGCTCCCACATCTCGCCCACCGTGTTGATGTTCGCCGCTTTGAGATGCGACTCGCTAACACCGCCGATTCCACTTACCTATAAAGATAAATTAGAAAAATAGTTGGTCCCCCGATAATGCAAAAGAACAGAACACATATTAACAATACCTTTCGAATTGGCAGATCCTTCAAAAATTGGATAATTTTATCACGTTCATTCGGCAGATCGTACTGCCCGTTTGGTTTGTTCATATCCGAGCAAATCTTAGCCAGCATAAAATTTGCCGCGATTCCTAGAGCAAAAATATCTGAAGGAAATAATGCCTTGCCTGCGCTACAAGTCAGCCCAGTTGCTTGCTCAACACGGTACCGGATCTCTCGTACGATCTAAAAACCCACTGTAATCTCAAAGATATAATCCGCTACATACCTCTTGACGCCCGATCCCAAACTCCACTTGATCCTGCACTATCCATCGCTCCTTTGAGCATTTCGGGCAATTCGTTCTAGCGTGAACGGCGGCCTCACTAAAAACTGGCAGCTGATCGATAAAAGGTTTACCAACAGTTTACTGCCCATTTCTTTCTCGAGTTCATCTACAGTGATGTGGGGCAGGCGGCAGGAACAATCCCCGGAATACCGTATCCGCGCGTATGCTTCTAGAAGTGGAAAATGAGTGCGCACAAAGGTGCTCACTAGGCACAGCCCGCTCGGCCACATATTCGGTGATGTCCAGGTAGGCCTCATCCAGGGAGCCCATGCTCAGCTCGGGGTCATACTCTTCGAAGATGCCGGAAAAGACCTGAAATATTTTTGTAGCTAGAAAATGCAGTAAAAAACCCACGCGACTTTCCGCGCCATATTTCTTGTAGTTTCCACGAACGATTTCCAGCTCTGGGCACAATTTCTTGCCGATAAATCCGGGCATGGCGGCACGGACGCCAAAACGACGGGCCAGGTAGTTGGAGGTGCTCTGAAATTAGAATAGACATAGAATAGATTAGACATTAATCGATATGAAAGACAATGGCGCCTCGGTAAGAGTTTACTTTACCCCCCCACAGCCGAAGGGTCCCACAGGTGTCGGTATTTTCGCTTATTTTTTCGGGATTTTCGCAACGCCATTCGATAGAGCGTCGAAAAATATACTAAGAGTTTTAATTTGAGCCTACAATAATGTAAAATAAAAAAGTTATAGCCAAAAACTTCCGGCTGGGGGGGGTAAAGTAAACCGTAGCCGGCGCCTCTCTTGAGAGTATCAATGACTGATCAAAATCATAAAATATCATATTTGCATTTGAATTTTTGAAAATGCCCGGAAGCGATACCACCCCAAAAATCAAAGAAGCACAGCAATCACTTTGACAAGCGGAAAACAACTGCTGGGATCGAGTGCTGCCCGAACGAGTCGAAGACGCGCGGAGCCCCGCCATGCCGCCTCCGCCAGAGCCGAACGGCGAGGAGAAGTCGAAAAGTCGCAAGACCCAGGACAAGACGAATGAAGCACGATCCAAGTGAGTAGCTATAGAAGACTCAAAGTACTACCCCTGCTCACAGAAAGAACAAGAGCACGAACGCCTTGGAGTCGGTGCCGGAGAATGTGATTGAGAAGAAGACTGTCGTTTACAGACTTGCTGCCGGGGAACTGGTAAATAAATATATCAATTCTTCAAACCCTGTTGATTCCAGTTCCCAGACAAGATCAACCACAAGAAGCAGATCTACAAGGATATCCCGAATCCGTCGAAGGGAGATGCTCTCGTGGCTGGGGACGTCATCAAAGCGGTACACTTCAGCAGAATTTGAAGAGTTCGCCTGAATCCAGATAAATGACAAAGAGGTGACTACGAGGAAAGTGTGGACCGAAGAAGTGCGAAAGCTGGCCAAAAAAAACGCTACGACCGACTACGATATTACGATCACGTATTTGCGACTGATAGGCAAAGTGCCGATTGGGAGTGGTTCGGAATTCATTCCGGCTGCTCATGATATACCGGTTCGTATACTATTACCGTATTTTCCCTAATTTAAGCATCGGTAATGAACTGATAGCGGGGGGGAGGTTAATTTTTGTTTTTCTACCTACTTGTTGATAAGATATTATGAACCCTTTACGTAGTTTTTGATTGCTAGAAAGCTACGAAAACTATCTACAACCTTTTTGGAAGCTTCGAAGATTTTTCACTCTTTTTTTTGAGTCATTTTTCATAAATTTTTGACCAAAAAATCTAAGTTTCGAAAACTTTAATAATCTCTATGAGTTTTACTCTAAAAACCCAGATGAAATACGATAAAAAATAGCCTATATCTGTTTAGAGGGTACACATAGGATAACGGGGGGGGGGAATAAAATAACGGGGGCACTCATTATTATGAAATTCGCAATTACTGAGGGATTTTGCGAGTGCCATTCGATAGAGCGTCGAAAAATATACTAAGAGAATTAATTTCAGCTCGAAATAATGTAATAGAAATTTTTTATTGAATAAACAAAAATTGAGGAAAATCTATGGGCAGCACATAGGATAACGGGGGGAAAGTCAAATTTTCGAAATTTTCGACATTTTCGGTATTTTGAAAACGTCATTCGATAAAGCGTCGAAAACTGCCCTAGGAAAATTAATTTCAGCCCGAAATAATGTAAATGAAATTTTTTATCGAATAAACAAAAATTGATCCAAATCTATGGGCAGCACATAGGATAACGGGGGGGGGAAAGCCAAATTTTTGAGATTTTCGATATTTTGAAAACGCGAATCGATAGAACATCAAAAAATATACTAAGAGATTTTTTTACAACGCGAAAAAATGTATTATAAAAGTTTTATAGCCTAAAAACTATTTTTGAAAACTATGGGCAGCACATAGGATAACAGGGGGGAAAAAAATTTTCGGCGTTTTGAATATTTTCGAAATTTTGAAAATGCCATTCGATAGAGGACCGAAAAATATACTAAGAGTTTTTTTTACAGCCCGAAAAAAGCTTATTTAAAAATACTTTTATCATATAAAAAGTTTGAGTGCCCCCCGTTATTTTTCCCCCCGTTATCCTATGTGTACCGTTTAGAGGGCCGTACGGGATCATTTTGGAAAATTTGGTTGAGCCCGTTATAAATCGGCCACGCCATAAATGTTGTCAATTTCAGGCCGGCTTCAGCTATCTTATCGCCCATATGATCATGTTCACTAAAGCCCGTCTTGGCATTGAGATCAAGGGCTACAATGGCAAGGTGAGCAAAGCCCTTTCTACAAACGTGACGAGCACTCAGGTGTACATCACATCTGTCGACAACGGCGAGAACAGCGTTGGCAAGCGTGTCCTACGCGTCGGTGATGCAATACTGGCCGTCGGGAAGACGTCAGTGGCGAATCGCCAAACGTGTCGTGAAGCCCTGAATGAAGCGTTCGAGAACAAATACTACGTAGGCCAATCATGCGTGAATAGTGGATTTATTTATACACCTGAATAGGCGTGGGTGGTGATTGAACGCGCCGAGCAAGACACGGCGGCAGCCCTCGTTCGACAGGCGTTAGCCTTCAACAAGAAGAATGAGCCGGACATGCGGTTGGCGGACGATAACCTCGAGATTTGCGCGTATGTTGCAGGCGTTTTTTCGACATTTTATTATGGAAAGGTATGATGCGTAAACAAAACGCGTTTTATATAGTTTCGCCAAAATTCAACGCTGCTTGAAACTTACCAAAAAATCTTTGAAAAGCGGAAATATATGAGCCATTTGGGGTAAAATAGCGATTCGAATTTTCAGTTTTTACGCCCAGGAATAATAAAAAAACGATCGAAAAGACCTGCGCTTTCACCGCTGGTCAGGCAAATGAACCTTATTTTTCAGCAAAGAGCTGTTGGCGATGAAGGAGCGGGCCAAGTCCCAGAAAATGCCTCGTTCGATTGAGCGCGACCCGAAAGCTTCGAAGCGCCGCCGCCGCCATGATCTCAAATTTAGCGAAAAGCTGAAGGTCGAGAAGCCGATTGGTGGGTCTAGGAAACCGGTACGAAACATAAACCCCTTGCAGAAATGGACCAGACGATCAACCCAATATTACTTCGCCACTGCCCTCCGCTGCCCGGATTCGGCGTCAACGATTCTGCCACAAACAGCAACAGCACGAGCAACAGCACCAGCAGCACCAGCAAGAAGAAGAAGGAACCCAAGGGAAAGAGCGGAAAATCTCCAAACTCGGTAGTTGGATAGAAGGCAGTCCTCGACAATGTAATATCTTTAGGCCGCCAGCACGAGCATCCAGGGAAAAGCGAAGGCCGCGAGTCGCAAGAAGCGCTAAGAAGCCATGTCCCAATTTTAAGAAAATTAATTTCATGCTTTTACGAAATAAAAACTTTGTCTGAACGGATGCTATGCTTTTGAAGCTTCACTGACAGTCTAACCGAACCTAGCCTGGACAAATCTCCTGGAAAATCAGCAACCATGCGAAAATCCAGGCATATTAAATTTCGGCAGCGAATATCTATATATGAATTTGACATTATGAAGCTCTCCCTTTTGTTTTGAAAATAAACGAAACGAACCAGCATATGAAAACTGCCAACAGCCATTGGTATCGTGCGCAACCGGGGCTCATCCCTCATCTCAACGGCCGCAAAGAACGCATCCATATCGATGTGAACGCAGTGTCGCGACAACTCCCGTGATGCTTCCAGCACTGATGTACGCTCATCAACCTGTAAAAAGAAATAAAATAATCTCCCAAATTTTCTACGAAACAACCCGCCCCCGCTCGACCACACAACTGCTTTCACCTCTTTCCGAATGCGCTCCAAATCGCCTTCTTTGAGCTTGGCAATTGTGGCCTTGATCTCGGCATTCCGCTTATCCATTCTGTCTTGCTTCTTCTTGGAAAAGGCATTGTACTTCTCGCCGGTGTTCTCTTCGATGATCTTCGCGATTTTCTCCTACGTAATCCCTTGTATCTGCTTCAACGTCAAAATATACCTTATCTATGCCTTGCATGCCCGCCTTTTCGCCCAATGGAAACATTTTTGTTAATATTCGGAATGTTATGCGCATGTAAAAACTTTTGTGTTTTTGTTTTTTTCACGCTAGAAACACTTACGCGAGGAAATTGGCAAGTACGGCGATGTACTAACTACACGCGTAAAATGCGGATATACCGGAAATCGGCCGCTGGATTTTTTCCTTTGTAAAACTAGTGAAAAGTTATAACTTTTACTGGATTCCTGCGTTTGTTCGATGCAGGGTCGAGTGGAAGTGCTGAAAGGGCCATTGCACTATCTACGAGTAGCCGGAAGCCGCAGCGCTTTGAGCTTGTCCAGCAAACAAGCATGGCAGGTAAAGGTTTTTTTGGAGCCGAAGTTTACCAATTTCGATGTAGGGTTACGAAAATGAGCGACACTACGAGCCCGGTGAGGAGCCGCTGAAAAGGACGTGGCACGGATTGTCGTACGACTTCAGAAGATGGGCACGCCGCTTTGACGAGGCACGGAAAGATGCCTGGCAAAGAAGACACCCCATTGCCCACATGAAACGAGCGGTCCATGACCACGAATTGTTGCCTTATCGGGCCGAAATTGTGGTTATTGGTGGCGGGCTGACTGGTAGGCGCTAGTTTGAACATTGAGAAGCTAATTATTTAGGTTCGTCGGTCGCCTATTGGATCAAACAATGGTTTCGGGATGAGGATTTCAAAGTTTGCGTCATAGAGAACAATGACAAGTTCCCGCAGGTATATTTTAACAATGTTACGAAAAATGAATTTTCCAGGGCTCTTCCCTGCTTTCAGTCGGTGGGATCTCTCCACAACATTCGCTAGCCGAGAACATTGAAATGTCATTATTTACCTCCGAATTTTTGCGACATGCCGGGGAACATTTGAGGATACTTGGTAGGTGGTATCACCAATTTTATAGTGTTTGACGTAGATAGTGAGAGACCAGACGTCAATTTCTACCCTTGCGGTTACCTACATTTGGCGTGTAGTGAGGAAGACGCGGAGACGATGCGAAATAACTGGAAAATACAGACGTTCGTCGCACTACGTATATTTTACTATTTTTTTTTAGTGAAAAGGGAGCTCGTATCGCCCTTTTGACCCGGGCTCAATTAGAAGAGCGTTTCCCAGCGATGGTCTTCGACAACGTCGTGCTGGGTAGCATCGGTAAATTGGACATTCTTTTTGGATTCTTTGAATTTAGCGCTGGAAAACGAGGGTGTTTTCGACACATGGCAGCTGCTGAGCGCGCTTCGGGAAAAGAACATAAGCCTTGGAGTGCAATATATTAAAGGAGAGGTTAGTGTTTGGGAACTTTTGTTAGAATATTCAATAGGTGGAAGGGTTCGATTTTGCGCCGACACACATGCTGCCGGAAGTTCATGCGTTGGAAGAGGGAACTGCGGCTGATGAGCTGGCGAAGCAAACGCGGCGGATTATGGGATTGATGGTAAGATTTTCGTGATTTTCTTTGATATTTACGTTTCCAGGTGCGTCCCCAAATGACCGATGCTTCTGCTCGACCAATTCGATGCTATATGATGGTCAATTGTGCGGGGCCCTGGTCCGGCTCAATTACAAAGCTTCTCGGGGCGGGTGAGTTTACGAATTTTCTCACTAAGTGCGTCTCTTTTGTCTTTTTGTAAGCGCAATTTTAGGAGATGGACCCGGCATTCTCTCCGTAGCCTATCCACTAGAGGCAAGAAAGCGTACAATGTTCGCCATCCATGCAGAAAGCGCACCGCCCGACCTTCCAATGATGGTAAAGTTCGTTGACCGGCGTTGTTTCATTTTTAGGTGCTTCCTTCCGGTGTTTGGATGAGGCAAGATAGACCTGGGCACCAATTCCTTGTCGGCAAGCATATGACGGCCGAAGAGGATGCAATGCTTGACCATTCAAATCTCGAAGACATCGACTATTCGCTTTTCTACGACACAATTTGGCCCGAACTGGTCAAGGTCGTTCCAGTATTGGCTGATGCCAAGGTACGTAAAGCGCTAAAATTCATTAGGATTGGCATGGGGCAAAAAATCCATCATTTATTTCAAAAGCTCCTTTTTTCAGGTGAAGTCGGCGTGGGCACGGTACGAATCGGTGAACACTTTCGATGGAACGCCAATCATCGGCGAGCACCCACAGCATAAGAACGTATATACGATCGGGGGCTTGGGCCATCGTGACGCGCAGCATGCACTCGCTGTCGGACGGGCTTTTGCCGAGAGAGTAAGTTTTTGTTTCAAGCTATTTGCGGATAAAAAATTCAGAGCCTCACATCTTCCTTTTTTAGATGTTCGAAGGCGCCTACGTGAACATCAACCTCCGCGGCCTCGATTTACGCCGGATAGTGAAGAAAGAACCTGTGCTTGAGAATATGTGGCCCTAGAACGCCGTAGACTTTTCGATTTTGATGTTTTTTTATAGTTTACGAAATGCGGGTGTTGGTAAGACTCCAGATAACCCCCCCAGCCAGCTCGGCCCCCATAGGTCCTATTAGTGCGCCGAGTATCTCAAAATGTTCGCCGTGGTCTAAAACCTAACGGAAAGTTGTTTGGTTCCCTCAAAAATTTCTATAAATTTTTTTATAAGAATTATAAGTTTGGGTCGCCTGTGTTAATTTTTCCTGACCCAAAGTCGAGATTGGTATCTCGGCTCTAGTTTGTCATACACGGCTGGTAAGGGTACCAAAATGTAGCTCTTGACCTGGAGAATACGAAAACGTCTAATTTGGGTCGAAAAAATCACGAAAAAAGACAAAAATCGACGTCGAAAATTTTAAGCTTGGGCTTGTATAAAGTTTTGCGAAAAAATTATATAAAAATTTTTCTAGCTATTTTCGGCGAAACCAAACAACTTTCCGTTAGGTTTTAGACCACGGCGAACATTTTGAGATACTCCGCGCATTAATAGGGCATATGGGGGTCGAGCTGGCTGGGGGTTATCTGGAGTTTAGCCCGGGTGTTTTTTTTTTGTTGCTTGTGCCGTATATCTTCTGCCACTCTACGGGTTTCGATAGGATTGTTACATAGGACTGACTTATAGAATCGTGCTAATAAATATTTTTCAAAGCTGGCGACGAGCAATGATGCAATTTACACCAAAAATTAAGATGACAAAACTGAACAGCTCACGAAGCGAGCGTTTCAACGTGCTAATGATGATCTCAATTTTTACCGGCCGACAAACCGTTGTAGCCGCTCGAAACATCTAAATATATATCTACGACTTTGTGCACAGGCTAGGGCAAAACGGCATATCGCTATAATGGCGAAAATTAAAGTTAAAAGCGACAATTTATTTATTTCGTTGTTTGTTTTAAAATTTAAGTAAATTAATCATAATTAAATGAATTCTTTGTATTATTGATTAATTAATTTAATCAAAACCAGGGTTTGGACAAATGAAACTGTAAAATTTGCATAATTCAGCCTCAATCAAGCTTACAAAAATGAAAAGATTTTCTTCCATCCCTTTTTATAGGCTTCTTCTACTTCCGGTATACGCTAATTGTTTCCTACCAAAGAGGGCTCTCGAAAATTTTAGAAAAACTTATTTTTAATATCGAAAATAGCGTATTTCGATAATTTTGTTATGCGTGCAGTCATCGCAGAGCCATTACGCACCGAATGATGTATCATACTTACCCTAATATTCATCTCCTATTGACTTATCCTCCGGACATGGAGACGGAAGTTGCATGCAAATCGACACACACACACACACAGACACTACTTTTTATATATAGTAGGAATCTTGCGTTTTTCCTTGCTATAAATTCCGTATCAATCCGTTAAAGTCCGTAAAGTGGTGCGTATCGTTTTTTCTACCGTAGCTGCGCAGGCCCTCTTCCCGGAATCGGGAAAAGCATCATTTTTGCGAAGATCCAAAAAAATCGATGTTTTTTCGCTTTATTTTTGAATCTTTTGTCTCTTTTTAATGTCTTTATCTCCTGCGCTTTTTTACCACTCAATCCTTTACTGATCATTTTTTAGGTGCTTGGAGGGATGGCGCTAATCAACGTCACTAACACCCCCATCCGCCAGCACCTCAAGGCCCATTCGCAGACCGGCCGACGGCGCTACGACAGCTTCACGCTTGGTACGCGGCTTGGCAGCGGCAGCTTCGGCTTGGTATACACTTTCTTTCATTTTCGTTCATTCGCCTCAGGTCTACACGGCCACCGACGCCAAGCGCCGCCCCATCGCGTTGAAGATCGTCAAGCTAGAAAACCTCAAAAGCGTGGAAGCGACCCTCGAGCCGATACAAGTCGAAACACAGTCCTGGCGGGCCTGCAATGGTCACCACAACGTCGTCAAGCTCTACGCATGCAAACGGGTCAGTTTCCTTTTTTCGGGCCAAATACACTGGATTTTTCAGGTCGACAACACGTTCTACTTCAGCATGGAAGAAGCTGCCACCGACGTTTACACTCTTACTACCGCCATCGGCGACCAGCAACACAGACTGCCCGAGCCCATCGTGCAACGACTGATGGCACAAGCATTGGACGGTCTACTTTTCATCCATTCCCGAGGAGTCATCCATCGCGATGTGAAACCAGACAACATGCTTCTATCCAGAGATGGTCGTTTACTTCACACGGATTTTGGGTGGAGCAGAGTATGTATGGCTAGAGTTGCGATAATGTACGTTTAGGCACTGCCGTTGGGCCAAAAAGCAAGAACACGTGGTGGAACGGCGGAATACTTGGCGCCTGAGATCTTCCACAGCCGATCTTATAAGCACTCGTTGGTGTTCACTGAGTTTCTGATTTTTTTTTCTTAGGCTTGATCTCTGGGCGCTCGGGATGTGCATGTATGAGTGGATCGTTGGAAACAACTATTTACTTCAGAAGATGGAGGGCAAATACAACGGATACAAAGAAAAGATTGCATTCTTGGAGGTCAATGTAGGAAGTTTCTCGCTTGCCAAAACTTTTTTTTAGCAAGCCTTCTTCCCTCGTTGCTCACGATCGACTGACCTCATGCACTCCGGGGTTACACAGCCGGCCTTGGCTGTTTTGCAAGGACTTCTCGCCATGAACCCTGAAGCGCGGCTCGGCTACTCTGAAGAGGATCCTCGCAGGGTGTACGCCAGTTTGATGGATATGCCCTTTTTCAAAGAAGTGGTAACTTTGTATTAGGTTAGCCGAATGTTTTTTTGTAGAAGCACTGCGCCAACATTCCCGCCGAGGTGGTATCAAAAGCCTGTGCGCTGAAGCGTCGCCTCAGGCCCGAACGCGTCCAACGAGATATGAAGGTTTTTCTCCATCTATAACCCTCTTAACCGTCTTCAGAAACTCGACGACTGGGAGAAGGCAGAGCTGCCATCCGAATACGACAACTTGTTCGCGCAATTCGAGTGGAGCTGTGACGACCATCCAGAGAAGGCTACAAATGTTCGGGTGAAGCAGCCTTTACGGAAAATTGGCCCGGCCGCAGCGCTTGGATGCCCTTCGCCTATGAAATATACGCCAAGCCGCATGCCAGTCAAACGACAAATCTTTCCGCAGATCCCGGTAAGCCTTCTTACATTTATTCAACGATTTCTCAGGATTTCGTCCCACGCAAGGTCGGTCGTGTGGCTTCCGAAACTGATTGAACATGCACATCGGCTCGATACTGTGAATTCCTGTGCTTTATTGAACTAATCATCTGATTCCCTCGCATGTATTCACTTTCCTATTACTGATTGGACCAATTGTCTGTGATTTTGACACACCCATTGACTTTGCTGTGCTCTTATTATAATGGTTTCTTATTTGGCCCGATTCATTGGAGATAAAGCCTGCACTCATTTTTGTTTTGATGCTAGCCGGCTAAAGACCATGGGAAAATTTTCTTGGCTGTTTCTACGCGCTGGCCGTGCTTTTCTTATTACAGCGGGTTTAGATGCCCATGGCGAGGGCTAATAGTGGCTGCTTTCGGGTCACGGACTTCTTTCCATCGCGGAAACGTGTTGCCACCTCGCAACAGGATGAATATTGCGGGAAGAGACGTCGACTGTCCGGATCCGAGCTAGAAGAGGTGCCACAACCGCAAGGATATATTGTTGAGCTTCTACCTCCATTGCTGCAAGAGGAACTTTTCGCCATTTTTTCCGGTATGGCCCTCTTATAGCGATATTCTTTTTTTTTAGTTGAGAGCTTGATCCGCCTGTGGTACACTTCACCGGGGACGCGCGAATCACTTGTCGCTTACTTCCGAACCCGCCGCTTCAAAGATAGAATGGTCGCGGACCTGGCGAGCTGTCCCGCTGATCTTGCTCGGAAGAATGATATGTCCAACCCATGTCGGCGTTATGGTATATTCGCGTTCTTGTTTTGTGTATACGTTTTTAGGTGATCTGTTGAAACTGATGTCGATTTCTGAACATACCGAAGATCGCATCGAGTTACTTTGCGAATACGTGGAATATGGAATGAACATTGCTCATTTTCAACAATGGGGAGCTGTTATTACATCGGTATCCGTATTCCAAGTGCAGCATAAACCATTTATAGTTCTGCGACTACTGGGATTTTGGACTCTGCATCGGTCTGCTGAGGAAAGTGCTCAGCTGGCGTGATGGGTGGATACGCAAAGAGGTCGTCGCTGTGCTTGGGGACCCGCATGGAGAAAACCCGGATGCCGAGATGCTAGTCAATCAGATCCTTCGGGACTTGTTTATCGACCGAGAGTTCTGTGATCGACAATCTCAAGTTTTTTGGACGACAACTTTGCTTTAGTAAGGCTACTTTTCGCGATGCATACATATTTTTTAGCGAACTCTCGACGAAAGCCACCCGCGCCAAATTACTTCTGATTTTGTTCCAGACGCCGAAAAAGACCACTTCTGGGCGAGGTTTGGTGCTATGGCATTCAATAATTCGATTGTTACAGAATTCCTGGACTGGCAGGAACTGTCGTCGTTGCCCTTCGCCACTCGACGAGATGCGGAAACGGGCCTATCGCGCTTATCAGAAGCTTTTGAGCTCTTGCTGGACACCGAGTTGCTATCAGGGAGCGGCGATGGCCTGCTGACCCTTTCTACCGGCGAGGTGTTCAACTTGCTCGAAGAGACAACCAGTAATATATTTTTATTGGAAGGGTAGTGAGTTTATTTTAGCGACGCCCGCGCCATGGTGTCTCGACAACTTTATCGCGCTCCATCTGGTATCTCCGCGCCTTTTCGCCGTGAGCTGCCTCCCACGTCTCAAGAATGGTCACTTTGATGAAACAGCCGAGATGTTGGCCAACATCAGCTCGGTAAACTATACACTATTTTACTAGTTGTTTTATTCAGCTCGCCATCAACTGGCGCTTCGACTACTGGGGGCAGTTCGGCACCCATTTGGAGCAGTTGCTGAAAGCCATGGAGCCCGATGTCTGCAAGCAGCTTGTCGGAGCGATATATAAGGCGATGGGCAGCCTTGTCACGGATGCATTTCGAGGTATTAAATCTCCTTCCTTTCCTAAGAAAGCGTTCCAGAGGGGCGTGCCGCTCAAATCAACCACGAGGTCGCCGCCCACACTAAGATCTCTATATCACTGCAACGCATCATCAGCAAGCTTGTGATTTGAAGTGCTTTTTTGAGATTCAAGTTAGCACCGTTTGTCCCTATAACTATGATTGTTTACTGTTTATTTTTAACCTGAATTGCCCCCCTGTGCCATTGACCTTTTTATGGATCTTACCCCCGTTTAAACAAATCGTTTTTACTGACATTGTTGTGAAATTGTTGTATTTCGTTGTTTTTCGATAAACTTACTGACCGGGACTTGTATTACTGAGACCAGATAGCCGAACAGCGCTCTCGTCTTTGGCGATTTCCGCGTAGTGCTTTCATTGTTTATGCGCTTGGTAACAACATAGAGGAGGAGCGTTGTCAAACCCTTTTCAACGGATAAGGAGGGCCCACGTAGACCAGCCAAAAACCGATGGCGCGGGGGAAAGGGGTTCTCTGAGCTCTCGCCCTCTCTGGCCCAGTTGGCTACCTGCCAATTATAGATGAGCCCTCCTTATCCCTTTAACGATGGCTTATTTTGGGTGAAGGTATGGATTTTAAGACGAATAACGGATATGTACAGGGCTCGAAAGAGGAGACTCGGGGGACAATGACTTTTAAACAGTGCACCTGGATGTGGTATTGGGAGACTAGAATAGGAGGTGAAGTTCAAAAAACAAAAGAAAAATACGAGATGACCCGTAGGGCAATTTTTCTCTATCCGGACTCTGGTTGTTGTTGATCGAGGGCTAGGGTTCAAAATGCTGAGAAGAAGTGGGTCCGCGGTGTCGAAGCGTACATACTGAAAAGTTGCGGATAATCGGAATTTCAGATATGCGGGGTCAATGGCCCGAATTATTAGCTTGAAGACGCACCTGAAGATACTGGTATCACGCGGTTTGCGCGACGGGGCCGGCGAGACGAGTGAATACTTCGGAGTCATTGGCAAGAGGGACGTGGATGATGGCCTCGAGCTTGCCGATGTCCGACCAGGCATTGAAGCTGCACGAGAAGCGCTAAACAAGTAATTGATATACTTTCTGCGATGGACGCAGTTGCAGGCCTTCAGGTTATTCTGACGAGCGCTAGCTAATTGCCCAATCTTTTCAAGCAGACAACGTACCTAGTCAGGAAGCGGCTTCGCTTCGAGGTGAGATAGCCGGTGCTCGGGGCGGTCTTGTAGACGCTGGCCGGGGATGACTCTCTGCAAAATGTTCCAAATGACGGTGCTTTCCTGTTAGCGGGGGGGGATTTCCCCATCGCGCTTTAGAGAAGAAGCCATTATATTTTAATAATTTTCCTGGTATTGCATCATATTAATATAAAAACATTTTTATAAAATTACGTGCCTCGCAAAATCTTGAATTTTTGCTTACTGTATGAAAATAACCAGACCTGGACAAGAAATTTGATATTTAAGAAATAGGATTGAATTTTGATTTAAGAAATAGGAAGACGGAAGCATCCAAATGACGCACAAACCTGACGGTAATCTGCTTAATATTCTCACAGTAGACATCCGGAATGGGCAGGTCACATTGGTTCGTCATCACCATTTGCACAGAATTTGTGCCTAAACGGGGGGACTTGGTGGAAAAAGGAAATCTACCTCTCAAGCGCTTCTCATACTCGACCATTTGCTTCCAGAAGCCGACGTTGGGACGGACAACGGGTCGCCGGCTCTTCACATGGTTGTAGGCCTGGCGGAGGGTCATCTTCTCGTGTTTCATCAGATACACCATGCACAGTGTGGCACTACGGGATACTCCGGCCATACAATGCACCAGGGTGCGTCCGCCACGGTCCTGAAAAGCGATTTTCAGGGATGATTGAATGCATACCGCAACGGAGCGAATCTTGTCCGCAGCCGAGTCGAAGTACGCACTCAACGGCGCGTACGGGTTATCGTCAACGCGTATCCGCAAGTAGTCGACGCCTAGAAATCATTTTTGTAAGAAAATCAAGGGCCATTGTTAGAGAATCAAAATAACAAAGAGCTTACCAGGAATGTGCTGCTGTGGTTCTTCAATAGTGGCGTTGACCACACATGAAATCGACTTCTAAAAATATTGTATTTGTTGAAATTTTAATTCGAAAAAATTAAAAAAGCTTTTTTTAAAACCGGATATTTATATAAAAACTTTAGAAATATAAAACCCGGTATGCAAAAACCAAATCTGTATAAAAGCGACAACAAACCTGACGAAGCTTGTCGGGACGAACGCATTGTATCCCGGAGAGGAATAGATTTGGGGTGATATCCGAGATCTGGGCCAAGACACCGACGCGCGACATTTCTAAAGGGAATATTGATGGTGAGGCTGGATGGTTTAGATAAGAAGAAGATCAAAACGAACGGCGAGATCAGCGAGTTCAAAAAGCTAAAAATGGATCGGAACCAATATTAAGCCTTGCCATCGTCGGGCGTGCGGTGCGGGCGGTAGGGAGAAGCAAGAACTGCCAAACCCAGGAGCGTGCCCGCTTCTCAGGCATCCACAACGGCCGCCGTCGGCTCAGAGAATGGATTAAGTGATCGTCATCTCACATAACTGTGGGCCGGTGGGAGGGGGTCTTTTTATACCCCCCTCACCCGGGGTGGACCAGCCGGGTGGCGTTTCGGGGACGGAGAGCGAGCACTGGAGATAAGGGCTAAAATGCCCAGTTTTTTGGAAAAATCGCTGTCACAGTGGAGTCTTAAATTCAAAAGTAATACAGTAACTTTGTAAAAGATGTTGGCATAACATATGTAATCATTAAGGGCTAAAAGGAAGATTTTCCGAACAAAACTGGCGGTTTTTGAACGTGCTTCTAACTTTTGTAACAAGTTCTTTCCATAAATTTTGTAAAAAAGTTTTCACTATTATTAAACATCAAAAATAACTAAATAATAATAGTAATTAGTGAATAAGGTATAAGACTGTATTTTACAGGTAAAATAGGTTATTTTGGGCAAGCTAACTATCTTGAAGGGGAAATGTCGAGGGATCGGGTTAGCTAGTGAATTTACGGGGGGGGGGGGAGGTGCAAAACTAGAGGTTAAACTCGAGAATAGAAGCTCCGACTTTTCGTTGTTTCACCTTATTATAATGCTGCTGTCGGCTAAAACCCCTCCACCACCCGCAAAACATCGTAAATATTTATCCGTAAAGCCCCCCATTTCTGTCCTTTCTAATTAGCGCCCTTAGGTCGCCCCGGGCAGCGCAACCCCCAATATTCTGCCCCTACATTTTTTGGAGTCGTTTTGCGATAGTTGTCTGTTGTTTGGCTTTTTGGGCGATGGTGAAAGATATGTCTAGAGTGCCAAACATCTCCAAAAATCCAAAAAGATGCTATTCGTTTGATAGGACGGGGAATGAGGCCAGGCGTAACTTAATATGTTCGAAAATTTACGGGACAGCCACCACATTGGCATGTCGAAACAAAAAGGGCCTGATGAAAATGGCGGCCAGCATTTTTTGCGAAATAATTGCGGGGTGATGACTCAGAAATGATAGAATTGACAGGGAAAGCTGGCGAATAATTGAATATGGTGTAGTTTGCGAGTAAACGTAAAGTGAGAGAGCGAGGAAGAGAGAGAGAGAGAGAGAGAGAGAGAGAGAGAGAGAGGAGAAAGCAGGAAAATCGGTGCTTTCGCCATATCGGGGGGGGGGGGGCTTTTCCTTAGCATCCATTTTTCTAATATAAATAGACGAAAGGCTTATAAATTGTTTTTTTACAATGCCTAGACGTCAAAACCCTACGAATTGCTATTAAAAATGCAAACAATATAGATTTTTCTACTAAAATTTAGGATGAAAAATTTTTTATGCATTTTCAGATAGTTAAATTTCACTAAAATCACTATTAAAATACTTACTGTCACATTGATAGGTATTTCTGGCCTTATAGCAAAACTACCCCCCCGATAATGCACCAGAACCCTTAAACACGATTAAACATAGCAAAAGATATACCACAAAATCAAGCCATTTTAGAGCTGGTTTTGGCCACGTTCCGGGTGCACCCGCTTCTGATATTCATAAAATATGGATTCTCGTTTTTGGTTGGGTACTAGTGGTGGCTGGGGGGTCTTTTGCTTTTCCTTCCCATCCCCCGTCCATCCGACTGCCATATTTTTGGCCGCGGCGAACGCCCCATGACGCGGCGGGACCACGGTTATTTTTTAGAGGGCGGCTTTTTGGTGCGGGGTTTTTTTAGAAAAATTTCGCAGGTTTTAAAGGCCTAGAATCTACTATTCAAATAGCTAAGGTCAACCAAAAATGGAGACAAAAAATAAATTATGAATTAAAACCAACTAAAAGTCCTGGATAAATAAATTATACATTATTAACAGGGAGGCATAGTTGAAAAATTAAAAATCACCCCCGCTAATAGAACAGTACCTATGTATATAACGATTTAGGGGACCTTTAAGCTCGGATACCTTTGGGGGAGAATTGCGGGGGTGGGTTAAATGGGGGTGAAATGGGCGAATTGGGGTGGAATGGCAATCAGAATGGACAATGCCCCCCCTCAGCTCCTTTTTCTTCTTTTCCGTTCTATGCATCCGGGAGCAGCAGCTCTGGCTAGCCAGCCCTCCTTTTTTGAAAGGATGCGAATGAACGGCACACCCACACGCACCTTTTCAACATTTACAAATCAGAAAATGCGTCTTTTCGGGGGATTTACGATTTAAAGGGACTGGCAAGTGTTGGCTAAGGATTTTTTGTCTACAAACTCCCCAAAGATTTTCTGCTACGCGGCAAACAACGAACGTGCACGGATTCTGACGCACAGCGTGAGGTGAGCGTTGCGTCGAGGGCAAAATCTATAGAGATAAAATGTCAAATTCAAGATTCAAAATAAATGGGTATTGCACAATTTTTAGCCCAATGAAGCCTAAAATTATACAAAGCAGAGTCTAATACTTAAAACACAAAGATTTCTAGCTTAAAATCAACACTTTATAACGATCTTCAACCCATAAAATCTACAGATGTGTCCATGGTTTATCGTCAAGCTCAAAAATCCAGATTTCTAGGCTAAATACCCGATTTTCGAAATTGACTGAAACCCGAAAAGTTTCAGGATGGAAAGCGAAAACATTTCCGGATCAGCGAAATGGGGGGAAGGCTGCGCGCGGGTAATAAGTTTGTGTGCCCAAGGTCAACTCGTTTTTGTTGTTTTTACGAGGAGAGAGAGAGAGAGAGAGACACACACACATGGACCCAGTTAAACCGTGAAAATCGCATGTGTCGATGAGGGGAGGATCGATTGCTTGGGTCCCCCTGGTGCGAGACGGGGTTGATCGTCATTCCCGCGGAGTTTTTGGGGGGTTTGCTGGAAAAATAGACGTGGGAAGTGGCGCACGGGTCAAACAATCGACACCCCACGAAAACAGCTGGTCGAATCGAGACGCGAAATGGGGGAAAACGAACCGAATCAAGGATTTTTGGTTCTGGTCTGTTGGCGGGGGGGGGGGGGGTTGATTTTTAGCGGGGCGAGAAAGCTATCCAGCTAAAATCCCTAGCAGTTCATAGTATGGTTTTAAGTGGTTTCTTCGTGATTTTGTCGCAAGGTTGCCTAAGCCTAAGCCTACGCCTAAGCATGTGCTACAAATTTTTATTTCGATTTCGATTCCGGTAAGACGTTTTAAAAAATTCGAAATTCTTGACGAGAAGAGAAGAGCGAGGAGAAGAAGCAGAGAAGCACCAAATAATACATTTTTAGCGCTTGAGATTCAAAAAACGGTGTTGGAAAATCTTTTTTGCAAGAAAAAAATGCTCGGTTTTACAAGTTCGACCATAAAAATCATCAAAAAAATTTGGCCAACGCGAATGAAAAACCCAAAAACAGGAAACGCCAGACCCAAAAACACGAAACGCACTATGCAAAAGAGAATAATGGATCGGTGTGTGGGCGGAGAAGTGGAATGGAATAAATACGGCCATTGCGAAATATCCACTCCGTATGCCATCCGGCCAAGGTCGACGAAACAGAGAAACAATCACCAAGGGATGGCCCTCTTTCCGGAGTCAGGAGCTTCAGTAAATAAAAGAAACGATGGCTAAGCATCATAAACATCAATTTCCTAAAAGTAAAAATCGCCCAAAATTTCAAAGATCTGCTTATTAAAATTTGTAAATACTATGTCTACACTTTAACCCGATCGAATTGGTATCAAAAGTGCTCAAGAATCCGCTTTAAACATAAATAACGAAACGAGGCGCTTTCGAATTAAATTGATCTTGTTCTAGTAAAATTCAGTTTTATTTAAAATAGAAAAACTGTCTCAAAAAATCTAAAAAAGTCAAAAAAGGTAAATTTTTTGTCTAAAAATCGATATTTTGGTGTATTTTAAGCAGAACTTTGTAGTTTCTACGTTTAGGAAATGTAAAAACAGCGTAAAAACCTTTATTTATATTAGAACAAACTGGATGCTCAAGAAAGCAGAGCCAGATTAAATCTATGCCTGGATGAGTCATGCTGTGGACACGTGAGTGCAATCAGGGTGCCTTGGCGGGCATCTGTGGATCGCGAGATGCTCGCTGTAAAAATGGGACATTTTCAGCTGGCCGGGGAGGGTGAGAACTCGCTTAGGGTGAGGGAAGGGACGCACAACGGAAATTAGAGATAGAGAGAGCTGTTCGAACAAAAAATATATGCATAATGCATACAAAAATTTTCCGTCTTCCAAAACTGACCACCGGCTTTGTTTGCCAAAACGTTGCTCTAGATCCCGGCTGTCGCGCTAGCCGGGCGGTCCCGGCGCATGATTGGCCCTATCGGAGATGTCAATTAAGGGAGCCGAGGGTTGATGAAGCCGCGTTGAAGCCGAAGAGGCACCCCTTCCACTACTACCGTATGCAAGAATCGGGAGTCTTCTTGGAATTTCTAAAGGATGCCCTCTCTGGGCTATCCATTGCGCTACCCATTAGCCAGGTCGCGAAATTCAATTGTTCTTTTAGGGCGGGAGAGGGAGAGAGAGAGAGAGAGAGAGAGAGAGAGAGAGAGAGAGCATGGGAGAGTAAGAGTGAAAAAATTTAGTGAGTAGTGAGTAAGAGGGTGAGTCTGAGAGAGCGAACAAGAGCTAAAACGAGAGCGAATTTGAGAGCGATAGAGAGAAGGAGAGCCATAGTGAGAGAGTGATAGTGAGAGCGAGCAAGAGCCAAAAGGAGAGCTAATCTGAGAGAGCGCGAGAGATAGAGAGCGACCAGAGAGAGGGCGAGAGTGCGAGTGAGATGGTGAGGGAGTGAGTCAGAATCAGAGTCAAAGCGAGCAAGAGCCAAAACCTGAGTGAATTTGAGGAAAGGGCC